GCAAGGCCCCGTTCTGACTGCTGCTTCCCAGGACCCGGTGAAAGGGTTGGCTCCACAGGGAGAGGAATCTCATCTCTGTGGCTGTCAGCACTAACCAGAGCCCTACAGACACAGCAGAATGCACTGCTGCCAGCTCCTGAACTTGCTCAGAGCCATTAAGCCCCTGAGAATTCAAGTTCTCTGAAATCACAGCATGCAAAACCCCACTAAACCCTTTCATGATGAAATCTCACCGACCAACCACTCCGTGCCAGTGCAATCCTTTTCCCTGAACACCCACGTTAGGGACATATGAGAGAGTTTCTTGTGGCACTCCACATCTACACATTGCCACAGCAACAGGCTGCACAAAGTAACAAAAGATGTGAATGGACACAAATGATCACCGTCCATTAACTTACAAATACAGTGGAGCTAAACTGTGCTCTGATAGGTGAGAAATATCACAGAAGGCAACGGAAAAACAAAACAAAACAAAACCCAACAAAACAGTTGTAAAGTAGGCAGAGATAAATGATAGGCCGTTCTCTGGATGCCGAGTTAAGGTCCCATACAGTTTTTTTGCCGCTCATTAATGACTCCGAGCTTTAGCCGCCGCAGCACGAGTCCCTTACGGCGGGGAGCATCGCACCGCCCCTATGGCGGCGATCCGACCACCGGCAAAGCAAAAAGACCAAAGGCACATCGCGGAGCCCACCCGCCCCGCCCGGCCCCGGGCACACACCTGCGCGCTGCCGGACGCGGACGAGGACGTCCCACGCGGCCGCCGCCTCCCGGTCCAGAGGCCCAGCGACCGTCACGGCGCCGCCGTCCCGCTCCACGCGCAGCGGCGATCGCTCGGCGGGCGGGGACACGAGCTCGAACCACGCGTCGGCGAAGGGCGCGGGCGGCAGCGCGGCCAGGAATGTGCCAGGCCGGGCGTCCTCGGGCACCGCCAGCGCCAGGGGAACGGCGGAGGGCGGCGGAGCCCGGCGGCGGCGGAGGGCGCGGGGCGGCGGGAGGCGGCGGGGCTGCGGCAGCACCTCCAGTTCCAGGGGCGCGCTGAGGCGCGGCGGCCGCCCGCGGTCCCGGGCGTAGAGGCGCAGCGGGATGGGCGCGCGCAGGTGCAGCAGGGAGCGCACCAACACCACGCGCCCGCTGCGCGGCACCACGAAGAAGTGCGCGCTGCTCGGGCGGGCGAAGTAACGCAGCTCCGCGTTGGGCCCCGCGTCCGCGTCCTCGGCGCGCGCGTGCCACACGGCGGAGCGCAGCGCCAAAGTCTCCTCCACGCGGAGCCGCGCGACGCCGCCGGGCGGCCCCCCCACGAAGCGCGGCGCGTTGTCGTTGTCGTCCAGCACGCGGACGGTGAGCGCGGCCAGCTCGGCAGGGGCGCCTCCGGGAGGCGCGCAGAGCCGGCAGCACAAACCCAGGCGGAGCGCGTAGAGCGGCCGCGCCTCGCGGTCCAGCGGGCGGCGAGTGCGCAGCCAGACGCGGCCCGAGCGGGCGTGCAGCGCCGCCTGGAAGTGAGCGTGGCCCTCGCCCAGGAGCTGCAGGCGCCAGCGGCGGCCCCGCACGTCGGCGCACCAGGGCTCGTGCCCCAGCCGGGTCAGCGGGATGCTCAGCCCTTGCACGCGAGTGCCCGCCGGCCGGTTCTCCGCCACCTGTCCGCCGAACGACGGCCTCCTTCTCCGCGGGGCGACGCGGGACGCGGCCAGCGCGCAACACAGCAGCAGGCAGCCGGCCGCCAGCCCGGCTCCGCGGGGCCCCATGCCGGCTCTGGGCCGGTCCGCTGCTGCTCCGAGCGGCGCGGGGAATGGGCGGGCGGGGCGGGGCCGCGGCGGGGCGGGGAACGGCCGCCCGAGGGAGAGGGGCGCGCCCGGCCAATCCCCGCGGGCCGCGCCGAGGGGAGGACGCTGCGGGCGCGGAGCCCTGAGGTGCCGCCGCACGTCCCGCTTATCCCGTTCGTGCTGCAGCTTCACCCGGGCGGCGCGGCGTCGCCGCGATCCGAGCCCCTGCGCAACCCGCGGTGCCGTCCGGCCGTCGCACCGCACGCACGGAGCGGACTTTGCCGCGCGCCTGCAGGAAACGCGTCGTGCTGAGCTGTCGGTAACTTCGCAGTTGTTTCTGAGTTGCAGGAAGCTTTGTATTCAGGTGCCGGCTGCTCCCAGGGGGTTCCGGGCAACGCGGGCTCCTCGAGCGCCCGGCTCCGCGGGACACAAAGGCACGGGGCTGTTCCGATGCGAGTGAACGTGCTGTGTACGTTGTCGCTGTTTGTAACATTTGTAGCTCTTTTCTTAACTGTGAGTGTGATAACCTTTTCCCATCTAATTTTGCGAAGTGAACCTCTAACGATGGAAAACTGAGGACATTTTCAGTATCTTTCAGTACTTTATAACGATTAATTTCCAATTTATTTCAGCCACCTGGGAGAACCTTTCCGTTAAGCAGTGTTCTGTACACCAGTCATAAGGTTAGAATAAATGGTTTAGTTATAATAACCTGCAGAAACGGATGTACTTCTTACAGAGCCAGGAGCATCTGAGTAACCCATGACCGAATTAGAGGAGCCATACACACATAAAAATGTAAAATCTGAGGTGTGCTGCAGTCAATCAAACCAGTTCTCACTGAACAGTGCACTCAGTGCATTGCTTCCCCTGGCTGGTGCCTTATTACTGAATTAATTACATTGATAACTTTGGTAAACAGCTCAAAGAAAAAAAAGGAAAGCTCACAAAAAAAAAAAAAAAAAAAAAAAAAAAAAAAAAAAAGTTTTCGTTTGATAGCTTTTCTATTAGTCAGAACTTTAGTGACTGACGTGGGCGAGTTTCTCAGCACCCTGCCCAAAGGGCTGCTCAGGTATGTGCTGCTCCAGGTTCTGCAGTTCAGGAAAGCATATTGCACACTGCTGCCCTATCGGGGCTGAGGGCCCCAGCAGCTGCTGACTGAGTGAGACACGGTGCAGCACCTCCACAGAAAGCACTGAGATCCGAGAGGAAGCACGGAGATTGCTGCCTCCATTGTAATGGTTTTGGCTGCTTTATGAACAAGTCACCCTCGAGCCTTACAGAGGAAGGGAAATCTGTCCCTTGCAATCCCTAGGAATATAAGATACATATTTTTCATTACTCTGAGATATTTTGCATTGCATTTTGTGCAGAGAAGAAAAAGGCAAAAAAAAAAAAGGGCATCCCAGTCTCACCTTTCCCATCTCTCCTGATCTAATAGCATTTTGTTCAGTCTGGCTTCCATTTGCTTCTTCTACTCTTTCTCTCTTTTAATCTCCATGTATGAAACAGCAGCTGGAAGCAGTAATGGAAAGTAAGTTAAAGTGGGTTAACTTAAACCAATGCCATCTTCTGTTCCACAGGCTTTTAATTAAATGAATTATCAGAACCAATGTCGTTTCATACCTGTGGAAGTAGATTTGCTTCCATAAGCTAGGGCAGAAAATAATTAATTGGAATACAATGAACAGTTCCACTACCAATGAAAAAGAACACAGATCTTGTTCAGTGCATGTATCTGTGTCATTTCCAAAGTGTAGCACAAACTACCAACATCTTAGCTTTGATAGTAAAGAAAGCTTATGTGCTATAATGCAGAGTTTCAGCTGCCTCATGTGGGCACAAATACGTTATCCAGAAAGTGAAAAATAACATGAGGCACATTTGGCAAAAAAAAACCAACAGCAGTCATGCTTTACAGTCATGGGAAAAAAAAAAAAAAAAAGGCTGATGTAAAACAAAGAAACACCAGAGCATAATAAGCAATAAAATGGCATGAATGGCTTCAGTCATGTCAACAGAACTATCGGCACTTCTGTAGTGGAGCAAATTCGTGAGTGACAATCCTAAACTATGCATACATTCTCTATGTGAAATAGATATCCTACATATTATATGGATATGTACACACACACAGGATTTTCCCGTGCTGGAAGCCAGGCATGAGCTCAGGCACCTTACAGATGCTGGGCTGAGCCCTGCTCAGTTCCTGCAGAGCTCCTGGGGCACTGCCTTGACTTTACAGGCTTCAGTAGCAAATCACCACCTATATAACAAAAGAAAAGGTTTGCCTCAAACCTTTCTGCAGATTTGATGGCCCCACATGGGTTACATTCCTCCAAAACATTTGCTGCTTATTGTTTAAGGAAGATCAGAGTTGGAGAGAAAAAAAAAAAGAAATGTCTCTTGGAAGAAAGGTAATGAACAATGCTTTTCTTTTTCTCTCATTCCTGCCTTCTACGGTGTGAGGTCTCCTCGCATCTCTGACTCACACCCACACCATTCAGTTTCCAGGCCCATTCTCCTGGATTCTCTTGCATGCAGAAACCAGCACCCTGACATGGCACAGTGCTTCTCAAGACTGTTTTTGTTGATTTAGGGCCCACTACTGAGGCTCCTATTCACACTGCTGCACTGTAGGTCTTCCTCACTACAATTTTAATTCCGTTTAGCAATGAGCAAGCAAGGATTTCATCAAGGAGGAATTCTGGTGCACCTCCCAGCCAGAAGCACCGCACAGCCTGCAGTGCTGCCGTACCTGCAGGTCCGCGCTTGGAATTCCTCGAGGAAGGGGAGCGTTTTGTTTGTCAGCTTTATTCACGCGTGCCGTTCTGTTACTGCTATGACATCGTTTTTAAGGATAGCCACGAAGTTACTGTGAGCATCACTGAAAGAAACATTAATGATCGAGATTAAAACCTTACGGAAAAAAATACGGACTTTTCCAGAGCCCTCTGGTGTCTGAAACCGAAGGCGCAGAACTCTCAAAATTCACGCCTTCAGATTTTTATGTCTTTCTTAGAAGTGAAAATCTCCCACGACGCAGCCGGACGGCGCACATCGACGCCCCGCCCGCGAGGCCGGCCCTCAGCACGACGCCCCGGCCGTTCCGTGGGACTCGCGCGCCCTCTGCTGGCGGCACGGGGTAAAGCAGCAGGCGCGAGGCATCCCCGGCAGCCCGCGTTGCGGAGCCCGGCTCCTCGCGTCTCGACGACGCGCCGAGCCCCGCCCCGCCGCCGTCGGTCGGACCGCGCCGGCGCATGCGCGGTGCGGCGGCTCCGTGACCGTTCCTCAGCCATGGCGGACGAGGAGCTGGCGGCGCTTCGGCAGCAGCGCCTGGCTGAGCTGCAGGCCAAGCACGGGGTAAGGCGCGGGGCCCCGCACGAGCGTTGGGAGGCGTCATCGCCTGTGTGCAGCGGGAGCCTTGGCGGCGCCCGGGGCGACCTGCGGGCGGGGCCGGGCTGGCGGAGCTGCGGTACGGAGGCGGCTCGGCCTGGTTGCTGCCGGGGCAGCGATGCTCGGGATGGAGCCCCGCAGCCGGTTTGGGTCGCGTTAATCTCTAATAAAATATTTAACCTTCCTGTCCTCTCAGTGACGTTTTTGGATTATTACAGTTTTTTATTCTCGTCTCGTTCTTTAGGATACTTCTGCTGATCCGTCGCAACAGGAGGCAAAGCAGAGGTACCGATGGCAACTGCTGACTGTCACCAGAGTCTCGTCTTATCGTCTTCAACCCTCCTTTCTTTTTAATATTAAGTTTCTCAGCTGAGCTTCAGGTGTTGGAAGAAACCATCAGCAAAGACACTGAAACGTGAAAGATTTAAGTACAAGGGGGAAAAAAAACAACAACCAAAGCAATTCTGTACTTTCCAAAGTAGAAAATGGAAAAAAATAAGTAGAGACTTTTGAAGGAAGTTGGAGTGAGATCTTAGGGCTTGTATTAACTGAAACACACAAACCTAAACTCCCAGGATACGAAGACTTACTGAAAACTGCTAAATACATAATGAAGTTTAGTTGTGTCCTGCAGGTGTGTGGACTTGGTGCCTGATCAAACACACACTGCTTTTGGAACTAAATGGAACTGATCACAGAATCGTGACAGCAGCTAGCGTGGTTTGGTTTTTCTGGCAAGATGTAATGAATAAATAAATGTAGTAAGGTCTCCTTACACCCCCTTACTACTCTAGATGTTGTCACCTAATGTAGTACTTCACTGCTGGTGTGTACAGCTGCCCAAGGCAGAAATGCGACAGAAGAAATCATACGGAAGTGTAGGGTTCTTTTCAGTTATACAAATGGAAACTCTTCTGTAAACTTTCTTGCTTTTATGCACATTGTTTCAGGAGTTTGAAATCTCCCTTTTAATGTATCTAATCTCCATTACAGGGAAGCGGAAATAAGAAATACAATTTTAGCTCAAGTTCTTGATCAAGCAGCTCGTGCCAGATGTAAGTATCCAAGAAGCTTTTAAACCAAGAATTCTCACCTCTCACGTCGAGAACATACATACCTGTATAGAGGCCACACTGAAAAAAACTGTTGAGGGAAAAACTAGTTGAGCTTTTCAACTGGTGATATGAGTGAGGGGAGTGGTCAACTGACATCTGAAAGACATTAATCCAGTTCTTCCATGAGTTAATAGTAAGAACTGTAGTGAGTCAATGTTAGTTAATCTAATAAAGAACAAATATTTAAAAGTAAGAAATGCAGCTTTTTCTTTCACCTTTGTCAAAATCCCTTCTTCAGTTTATTCCATCATCCTGGCACAAAGAGGACAGTTTCCTACTTTAGTATCTAAAAAGTGACTAAAGATACTCAGAGTGTGTTTAAAACAAACTGAACAGAGTCTTCTTTGTTGCAGTAAGCAATTTGGCACTTGTGAAACCAGACAAAGCAAAAGCAGTAGAGAATTATCTTATACAGATGGCAAGATTTGGACAGCTACCTGGAAAGGTGAGTTATGTCTTGCTTTTTTTCCCCCTATATTTTCTTGCATATATTCATTTTCAAACTTAACTCCCTCAAAAATATTTAATGTTGTTAATATTCATAGAATTAAATAACTGAAAAGGGCACTTAGGAACTTCTAAAACACTTCTAACTACTATGGTATAATTCACCAGTCAGACACCTTTCACAAAGGAAAATGTGTTTCGTTTGTTTGGGCTTCTACTTTCTAGGTATCAGAACAAGGTTTGATAGAAATACTTGAAAAAGTGAGTCAGCAAACAGAAAAGAAAACAACAGTAAAGGTAAGTTTTGTTTCCTAAATATAGTTTATTATTATTTTTATAATTGATTATATATGTATGTAATATAATATAGTTACAAGCTCAAGCTGGAAAGCTCCATGTAGTGCACTATTTCAGTTCAGCACAGAACTTTCCTTTGTATTTACCATCACTTCTCTCACCCACACTAATAAATAAGCATTGGGTTACATCCTTAGGAATGGTCTAATTTGCAGCTGTTATCACTGGGATAGCAGTGTTGTGTTGAGACAGACCTGTGCTTTTGCTCTCTCCCATTTTGCCAGGTGGGGACTGGAAGGTTGCGATGGGGGGAAACGCCTGCTTCCCAGTAATAGATTGTCAGATGGGTGGAGTTGGAAAGGCTTTTTCTGTGTTGGATTAACTGTGACCTTGTATTTCATTTTAGTTCAACAGAAGGAAAGTACTGGATTCAGATGAAGAGGATGATTATTAAATACTACTGTAAGCCTGCCAAATAAATGGTTGGACAAAGGCAACAGTTATCAGGCAGAATGCAAAGTCTGAAAATGTTTACGTTTCTTTACTTCTTTTTAAAATATATATAAATATGTATAAAGGCCAACAAATGAACTTGTCTTGTAAAATACACCTGAGAAGGGGATTTTATAACTTAAATTTTTGTAGTATAAGTGGCCTGAGCAGTGTATAGTTCTCCACTGCTTGAGTAGCATGAAAATTGTTGCCCCTTACTCAGTGTGTAAGCTATGCTTTCAGCACCCGTACACCCTTAACCTGCTGCTATTGGAGATACGGTAACAGGAGAACTTCAGTGTAAAGCTGGGAACAGCCACTCCCTGCAAGAGTTTAAAGGACTTACCTCCACAGTCTAAGTCACAAAAGTGTTAGAAGCAAGGTTTCCTGAGCCCCTGAAGGAAGCCTCTCAGCAGCTCACAGAGACTCTCAGCTCTACTCGAATTTTTTAAATTCAAATTAAAGCATCATAGTAGCCATTATTTGTGTTTGGATTGGGGGCAGTCTCTATTATAAAGAAACTGTTACCATCATACAATTGAAGTGTTCTCCTACAAAACAATCAGGCTGTCTCAAAAAAAAAAGTTGAAATTAACTGTGTAATTGTAATCCAGCACTGTTCAGACATTTGGCATCGTACGTTCTTAAAGCTACCTCCATTTTTATCAAATAGCTGGAGAGTTTCTTAAAAAAAACAATCAGTTTTCCTAAATTTCTGCAAATCCTGCATGCATAAAGTAAAACTTGTGCTGTACATTTATTAAAATACATTGTGCTGATAAACACTCTACAACCACAAAGCCCTCTTCTGACATAATTTAACATAAACATGTATGATCCTAACTGCAGTGGTTTTTGGAACAGAATAAAACTGTTTAAAGTGAGCACTAGTAAGCGTGTTATTCCTGTGCAAAAAGCATGCCTTCAGCATGGCTGTTCTATAGACCTGGGGAGAATTTCTAGGAGTACTCCCTTCAAATCTTGTCTGAGTTTAGACTTCAATCATCATGTCTTAGAAAATTAGTATATTTCTTTAATGATAAGCTTGGTCAAGCACATCAGAGGAATCTTTCACTTACCTAAATCATTTGTTAGATGTTATTTGGAAGTGGTCAGGATTTAAGTGCTTTGATACATAAAAATCCAAAATGCCTGGAAGTAAGCTTTATCCTAGACTGAATGCTGAAGTAAAAGTGAAGCATGGTTTGGTCACTTAAGTAGGTTTGGGTTCAACAGGACAACTGTTCAGATAGAACAACAACAGAAAACTCAAGTTAATAAAGCTACTTTTGGTATTGTGGGTTTTTTGGGGGGGAAATTTTATAATTCATTCAAGAGGAAAGCGTTTTCCAAAGGCAAGCACTAGTATAACACTTGGCCAGTTCCTGTAAAATGAAGAGTGCTTTTCCTAATCAGCCCATCTCCTCGTATTGGTATAACTGTAGTTGTGCTTCATGTTCTACACTTGTGCACAGTCTCAGTAGCACCTGGCACTACCCACAGACATAACAGCAGCAAATAGATATGCCAATATGTGGCACTTCAGGGCATCACTGTTCCTACATCTGTGCTTAGTGACTGCGTAATTGTGGACTATTTCTCTGCTGTGTATAGCTGCTTACAAAAAGCCAGTTTAAGATCATAGAATCATTTGAGTTGGAAGGGATCTTTAAAGGTCATCTAGTCCAACTCCCCTGGTGACTAGAACTTCCAGCCTTGCTGAGGTAGTGCAGGACGTCTCTGTACAGCAGGGAGATGTCTACTTGTCCATCAAACAGACTAAATTTTAAATGTGAAATTAACCAAATAATTACATAGTCATTTGTATCAAGATGTTGCAGCTCTTTCACTGCTTGCATAGAATACAATGGAACAGTTTATGCTTCAAATAGAACAGTAGCGAACAATTTGTTTTCCATAACCCGTTGCAGTCAAAATTGGTTTTTAATAAAAAAAATAAACTAAATTCAGAGTTCACATCTGCTGATACTTATTTCAAAGGTATTTAATAAACTCACTCAGAACTTGTTTCCACAGCTACTCAACTCTAATATTCTGCACTTAAACACTGTAGCATAGTAGCACTAGTATTAAAAAACTATGGAGCTGATTTTTCTCATTCAGACTGTCTAGAAATCTTATCATAATTTAGGTAAAACATATACTGTAATTAAGACATAAGCTAAATTCTCAGTATTTAGTTTGGAAATCAGATCTATGAAATTTTATTTCTATCTTTAACTTTACAATGAATCTTTAGATATTTCAAGAACATGACAGGCAGGGATGAGCAACGTGCTCTAGGACAACTTTGCAGTGTTGCAGGAAGAAAAAAGACTAACTATAGTTCATCTGTTCATCTCTCCACTTGCTCTTCTGGCTTGCTGTAGTTAAGATCAATCCCACCTTTTTTTAAATGAAGAAGGAGCTTAGAAGTGAAAATGTTCAGTTTCACAGATAATTCTGTATTTAACATTTATATGCCTGAAATCCCAAACCACACAACCTACTAATAGCAATCTGTGAATGCAGAGCAGAAAAGGGAAGAAACTCCTATTGAACATGACTGTAAATTCCAACAGATCCCCTCAATTTACACAGATACAAGGTGAACTCTTCAGTGTCTACAAAAACAAGTAAATCCACAAAAAGACGCAATGCTTTAAATAAGCACTCAAAGAAAACAGCACTTTCAAGAATTACTTTACTAGCTTTTTCTTTCCATCTTTTGGCACAAATCCAAGGCACATTAGAAAAGTCAGATAAACTCATAAATTATTAGAAAAATAAACACAAGATCCTCAACTCCAAATGTCTAAATGTGCATTTGCAGCAAATTTTACCTCTTAGATTAAAAAGTTACTTGAAAAAATCACCAGCATGTCCTCCAGCTTTCTACTTTGCCAGGCAGTTTACTAATATTGCAATTAAAAGAAACAGCATTATTCATACAAATAAAATGAAAGCTGGATGTGGTGAGCCAAGGATAAAAAAATACTGCACTTAGGAACCTGGCTTGTGCTATGTACATGTTTTGCTACTGTAATCAAAACAGTAGAAAACAAAATCCAAATCTAATCAACCATCTCAGTTACTTGTGAGCTTTTGATCTTCAGTGATCACCTCTGGGAATGATCTATTCCAACAAAAGCCAACTGATGTGAGGGGTACCTTTCAGAAATGGAAGTGCATGGAAGTTCACTTCTTTAAATAACAGTCTGGGTTCAGGCTCTCAAGCAGCGGTTTTGCCTGCAGATGTCGCCCAGGTTCAGAATCACAAATATTCGTGCATTTTTTGAATGGCTAGCTTTGGAGGAAGAAAAAAAACAAACCTTAAAACAGTTTTGTGTGTCCTTACGCACTCTTGCTTCTGCGTATTTTTTAATCAGGCTGAACACTGAGTTTACACTTTAGCTTTGCAGAGGCTCTCTACTTCTCCCCACTGTCTTGGCTCCTAAAAAGAAATTGATGTTGTAGATACAGATACTAAGAAATTAGCAAAGATTAGTTCCCTTCATATTATTAGCATGTATATGTCTAACATGGTGTCACAGATGCACTACTGTTTTCTCAGCTACTGAAATATACAGAAAAATTTATGCTGTAACAGTTTGTAATATTCGAATAAAAATAGACATTTCAATTACCTCTGTCAATAAATAGCTTGTTATCCAATATATCTTTATGTATATATAAATATATATATATTTGTATATATTTATCCATTGTAGTGGTAAAAACCAAAAATGCGAAAATTATTCAAAGACTTTAAAAACAAAGTAGATGGCTGAAAAAATACAATACAGGGTTTGGTCTGGTTTACTGTTATATATGATTTTTTAGTAAGTGCTACGTAGAACATGAAGGTAACTTTACTGCCTACATACGTCAGTACTTCCCTGTTTGTTAAGATCAGCAACGATCTGGCTCTGTAGTTACCTCCAAGACAGATTCAGTCTTCAAAAGTTCTAGGAACATTCTGTTTCTGCTGAAGAGTTATCCCTGTATTCTCTTCTGAAGGCATAGCTTGCAAGCGTCACCGAGTTCTTTGATATGCAGCAAAGGGATACTGAAATCCACACCACCTGGTTCCAAAGCTTTTGACATCACATCTGTGCTTCTTCGTCAATGTTTGGAAAGCAAGTCATCACAGCAGTCTCTCGATTGTGAAATACTTGGACTTCCAGGGCTGGATAAACTATTACCACTGACACTCTCTGCTGAAAGCGGAACATTAACAGTGTGTCTCCGGTGCATTAATTTACTCCTACAAGGAGTTTCTATCATGTCATCATGTTTCATAAATTCACCACTGCATTCTGCGTCAGTAATCTTAGCTTTGTTCTGGTCCAGCGTTTCAACAGATTTTAACTTGGTTTTATCAAAGCTTTTAATAGCTAACTGTGGGGAAGGAAAGATGGCATGTCAAAAGCATTGTCTGGTTTCTTCACCACAAACATGGATAATTAAAATAGTTTCATGAATATAATTATCATATTAATGTCATGATATTGACACTGAGAACACAGTCGAGAATTAGGAATAGTGCACTTTGTAGGACATTTATCATCTTCAGTCTGAATATGTGAAAACAAGAAAAGGCCAACTTGCCACAGCAACTTATCAGTACCAGAACTGAAAAGACAATCAAGGCATTCTAAAACTTATTTTCCAATATGATCTTATCTCTTACAAACATCTTTTGTAGTGCAGGTCTTAAGTTATTGCAGCAGTTGTTTCTCATACCACTACCAAACTGCTACCAGATCTGTCAGGGGAGAGAGACCCTGTGCTCCTTCTTCAAGACTCTTATTCAGTCACTCCAAGTACTCCTACCTTCCATTTCTATATCTGCCCAACTTTTCTTTTACAAAAAAGGTGGCTCTCCTTGATCACTGGCCACTTTGCCAATTTAAATATAAAAATTAGAAATAGATATTAAAAAAAAAAAAAAGGCCAAGCATACTAATGACAGATTTTCTGAGAAAATAATTAAGGGCAGAAAACAATTATAATACCCTTTTGCTGAAATAATGGCCAAAAATTGAAAAAGTTTCAGAAAGTGACTATGACCTGTAAATTTACAGAGCCATGACAGTCAAACATGGTGAATGTGCTATATATCATTGTCACATATTTTCTGTCAGTTGATGTATTTGCATGACATGCTGCTCTTGGTGATTTACAACTATAAAATCCAAATCCCACATTTAATTAATGGAATATTATCATTAATGCTAGAAAGAAGTAATAAAATATTACACTTCTGTGGCATTGATTTGGCATTCTCAATTCGCAAATACTAAATCTAACGAGATCCATGAAATGGAAGAGCATTTCATTTTGTAGATGAAGATGAGAGGCAGAGACCACATTTCAGAGGCTACATCAATCTAATAATAGACAGCTACTGAACTAACCTGGTAGAAAACTGCTTTCTTTTGAACAGGTTTGTTTTTCTCCTGACTTAGTATGCCAGAAAGGCTCAGCGAGATTTCCAGTAAGAGTCACAGACAGTGCAAAGAAGGAAGAGGGAGTGCATGCTCTGGGGGTAGGGCAGCATCCAGCAGCTGTACTGACTGAGGGTGACACAGTATGCCCAACCACTGATGAACTGACCACACCATACAGCTGTGATACAGCTGACAACGCAACATCCATTTTGCTATCTCCCTTGCAAAAAGTCTCCACCTAGAAGCAGATTTATCAATTTACTGACAAATTTCTCTCCTGTGAATAGCACCTCTGCTTGGCAACATCTGTTCTCACAATATATACTTTTTCAAGCATATCCTAGATTTTGCTGGACAAGCAACAGAAAGACAAAAAAATTAAGCCTGCAAGAAGAGGTTTAAGAAATTTAAAGGGAAGTATGAGACATTTAAGAGATGGATAGTAGATAGTACAACTAAGTATGGACAAGGATGGAACATTAGCAATTCAGCAAGCACATCAGAGCCTTGGGAATTCGTTGACCACTACTGGTAAAGAGATTTCTCTGTTACACATATCTATGTTAATAGCAGATATATATTATACAAGTAATGTGTTTCCTCTTACCTGGTGCAAGAACTGATAGTCAAAATTGGGGACGCTTTTATCTCTTGTTATTGTTCTCTGTAAATGTTTTGCTCTAAAATACAGTTTAAAGAAATTAAATTTGACACTTTCATTTAGTCTTTTCACAAGTCTTGATGAAAAACCCTCTAGGTGGCACTATCTCAGCACACAAAGGCAACTATCTGACAGTCACTTTTTCCACAAAAAGACAGCCTACTACTATCTCTTATATTTTAGAATCATAGAATCCTTTGAGTTGGAAGGGACCTCTGAGGCCATCTGGTCCAACTCCCCTGCAGCAAATAGGGACACCACAGCTTGACCAGGGCTTCATCCAGCCTTCCCTTGAAGGTCTGCAGGGATTGGGCATCACTTTATCACACAATGTAAATTGAAATTTGGAAGATAACAGCCAAAACCCAATGTCTGACTGAAGTATTCAGATATTTTTAAAACAGCCTGGCTCAGAAATTGCTGATTTATGGCATAGCAAGTACCAGTGCAAAAACTGTTGTAAATATATTTGCCAGTACTACCTTCAGAAACCAGCTTTTCCCCTTTCTGCTTCACATCACATCACTGGCATTCACCACCACCAAGTACATCTGTCTGGTGATATTAATGTTTATGCCTCTGTGGATTAACATCTACTGTTGTATCTATCTACTTAGTCATACCTGATGTGCAACAATGCTTGGCCCACTTTTGGGCGTTATTAAACAGTTACATGCTTTGTTTGCTTATGGGAAACAATAAATGTACTTCCACGAAAGCATCTATGCTTACTTGTTAAATCTGTTAATTGATTGGACGAGTTGATGTTGTCTGTTCATGAGATCATCAGCTTTCTCACATGGCTCGTTCACTAGGGTTTAAAAGAACAGGCAGCTGTAAGTACAACTCAGTCACAATGAAGAATTAAAAAAAAAGTTCTGAATGAAAAGTGATATTTACTGACAGGCGAAAAAGCTTTGCAGTAATAACTTGAATCAGTCACCATTTCTCTTTGGAAATTTTAAACCATTTTAAGTTGCAGGAGTAAGCACTGTTAATCAGATTAGCACGACTGGCCAAGATTCTGGAGAGACCATTTAATTCTGGACTTTGAGGCTCATCATTCCAATTTTTACAAATGTGTGTAACTAATGCTTTTCCACCTCTTCATTAATACTTCTTAGTTATGTCTTTTGCTGGTCTTTTAAAAGCTATTCCCATGATATTTGAAATGATTGCATCAGTCTCTGGCAACAGCATATGGTGATAAATTTTATTTTAACAAAATATTTACATTCTTTCCTGAGGAAGCAGATGAGGTACTTTGAAAAGTCTAACTAAAACTCACGGATGCTGAAATGGGCACTTCTGCTTCTCCTTTTCCCTCTGTCCTGGCCATGCAGCCTCAACTGTCTTCTTTCCACAAATGGGGTGGCAGCAGGCCCTTTGCTATGCAGAGTTGTGCAGCTCAGCACAAAACTTGTTACTTGTTATACCCTATCTCCTCTGTTGGAGAACTGTATCAGCTGGGAAATCATCTGAAACACTTCTGAGCCAGCATAAGGAAGCAGTGGATAAGGACAACAGAAGCAGAGGGAAGGAGTGATGAAGTGATGATGGGCCAAGAGTAACACCATTTCTTTTAAGTGGCAATAAGCTACATCAGCTCAGCTGTACCATCAAATAATACCATGTGTCTCAATGTATTGGCTTAGACTGTACTAAATGCTCCCACTTACAGAAAAGCATTCTTTTGCAAATCTTGCTTGCTGGCCTAGAAAATTATTTCTGTAGCTTTGATTTCTGTCCCATAATCTCAGAGACAGAACACACTGTCTTAGGGCAATGTGGATGACAACCAGAGGTGATTTAATCCCTTCTTCTTTGCACTGAAATGGACGAAGTATTGCATGGTTAATTATATAATTTCAAATGTGCTTTTTTTTTTTTTAAGCATGAAATGATTTAGTATGTAAAATTCCCCGCTATGCACCAAAGAAGTGAAAACTGAGTTTGTGAAAGATGTCATATATATAATTAAAAGTCTGCTGAATTTAGTTATATTATTCTCAGTGTTTCCTGGAAAAAATATTTTTATTTTTATATTTATTTATAATATTTATTTTTATTGTAAAAAAACAGTTGGCTATTCTTTAATTATATGTAGATCATATTGTCTCAGATTAATTCCTAAATCTCTTTTTATTCATAACAGTGGATAAAGGACATGTACCTTTTCTTCTTATCTTGACAGTAGCATGATGCTCACATTCCTTTTCTTCCTCTGCTGATGCAGGTACACAGCTTGCTGCTGTTTCCAGCAACTTAATGATATTTGAATTCTTAATTTCAGAAGTTTCCATTTTCATCAGTGTTGAAATAAAAACAAGGAAATAAAAGTACAATTTCAGAATTACAGTTCATGCAAGTGTGTTAGCTGCTGAAATGAATGTACATAAGAATACCTCTTTATAAACAAAGACTTCATATCAGCTTGACTCTGGACAAAGCCTGTGTTCCACAGGGTGCAATGTAACAAAATGCTTTTGCAGTCTTTGTCTACTATTTCAAATTATACCACTGATGGGTAAGTTCATTTATAATTAAATTGATAATATGTATACTGAAACTGATGCAGTACAGAATTTTGTGGCTGCTATTCTACACGTCAGAAGCTATTTAAGAACAATAAGGTAGGAATCATTTAGAGAATAATTCCGTATAACCTAGTATTAATAAAATGAAAGTTGATGACAACAAGATAAAAGATATCAAAAAGCATGAAGGGCAAAACATGGTGGTAAAACAAGACTGCTAGCAGGGTAACTGATTAGAACAGGGTGCTTGTTCTCCTACAGCCTGCATTTCTTCTGCTCTTTCTGCCACTATTCACATTTTCATACATGTATGTGCTTTCACTCTTCCTAGGCTCATCTTTTTTGTCTAGGATTTTTATTTTAAAAGCACTACAGCTTTCACATATCACAAGTCATGGCACAATAAACAGGCATCTTAGTCTTACATCGCATGTAACTTTTGAGTATAGACGTCTCGGCAATGAAGGGCCAAAAATGCTGCTGTGACAAGCAGTTACATTTGCTTTCCATTACACTTTAGAAAATCTTAGAACTTTAGAAAATCGAATGCTGGAAGCAAACTTTCTGCACTCACCGGCTCAGCACAGTCTGCAGGGGTACAGTTCCTTTCATTCTGTATGTGTGTCATCGCACCATTCTGAAGCAACAAATCTACCAGGGCTTCATTCTTCCCTATCACAGCCTCATGCAGTGCTGTATTTCCTTTGGCATTAGAAAGGTTAACAGAAGCTCCATGCTGGACAGCAAAATAAAATCAGAGATAATAAAAAGCAGCCTAAAATTGAGATAGCACGTTATTATTGTGCTTCTCTCCCCTTTCATTTTCTATGTATCAACGAGAACAAAGCAACAACAGCCTTGTAGCTGTATACAAAACCAAAAAGCATATGCTAGCAATCACCAGTTCAACAATAAGCCACCTGGTCATATTATTATTTCCTACTCTCTCATAGCCACAATTTCATAGAGAAACTCATTTCATTTTTTGTGTGTATCTTCTAGATAGGCCAAGTCTAAAGGAGACTTAAACTAAACAACAACACACAAAATGCTAAAAAAAAAAAAAAAAAAAAAATTGATACAATCACAAGCAAGAAAATCTGCTATGTGCCACAGAGAAGTTCCTTAAAAGCAGTTAGCTGTACAATCGCAAAGTAACATTTATCTCATCAAAATCTGTGAAAAGAGGAAGAGAAAAAAACACTTTTTTTTTTCTGAGTAATTTTAATGGAGAAAAGCTTAAATAGTAATACTAATCTGAGTCCTAACCAAGCACCAGTAACACATAAAAGTGGTATTCTGAAGACTGTTTTCAGTGATCTTACCTGTAACAACAAGGCAGTAGTCTCATAGTGACCATTCAAGCATGCATAAATTAAAGGAGTATTTCCATATGCATCCTTTTTATTTTGTTTAGCATTATAATTCATTAGACATTCTACCACCTGTTGAAAGAAATAACTTTTCAATTTAAGATACTACCTAACCGCAATCATGCACATTTCTTTACATGCAAAAATCTGTAAACAGAGAATGAAGAAGGGATGCAAGGAAGCAAGAAGATTGAAGAAAACAAGTCTCAGTTTTGCCAAACAAATGACAATGCAAAGCACTAATTCTTATCATACTAGTTTCCATAATTTCGGCCACACAAACCAACTAACCATCACCTCAGCCTTAAGCATCATTTAATTAATTTTAACTGTTAACTGGTTTATCTTGTTGCTAATTTCACAGAAGAGTTTTTTGCTGGTGGCTCTGTGTTAAATAGATTGCAATTAGAGGCTCCATTACCTGGGAGTGACCTTTCTGGCAGGCTAAATGAAGAGGCACTGCATGTTCTGCATTCTTGGCACTGATACTGGCTCCATGTTTCAACAAGAGAGAGACGAGGTCAGAGTGTCCGTACAGTGCAGCCATATGCAATGGTGTAAAACCATCTTGATTTGATACATTTACACCAAGGCCATTAGCAGGGACCCTTGCAAATTTCTGTTGAGGAGTACACAAAACAAAATAATTAATTCTGTTACTTTCCATCGACCAAAATGCAATCAAATACTTACTAAGTAAAATACCAAGCAGCTGGACAGACATCACAAGAACTTCAACTACAGAACCTCACTGAAGACTTTACAGCTGGTGAATCAGAGCACCTTCGCAGTATTTTTCAAGTTTTTTTCTCTTTTTCTTTCAGTATGATAGCTCCCTATATAGAAATTCCTGGCAAGTGTTCACGTTATTAAAAAGGGACAAAAGGTGTGTAGGTTGAGATGGAAGTAAGGCCCAGTGCTTTTTATATAGCTGTTAGGATGCTGTTACATACAGACACTGGGTGTTAATACTTTATGAGCTACATTTCACAAATACTCATGGCCTGCAGACACTATGTACCTATTTTACTGCACTAGATAATACTGCTAGGTAATACGTATAATAACTAATTTTATTTTTTTTTTCCATGTGCAGGTATCATTGTTCCAGAGCACAGACTCCATGGGGAGTCAAGAAAACTACCTCAAACATGGCTTACACAGCAGTATTTGTTTTTACTCCTCTCACAAACTGCATGGGTGCTTAATGTTCACAGTGGTAGATCTTTCATCCTGCCTGTCCTCAGTGGTATGCTTATCTAGATCAGTTAACAAATCACTTCTGCTTTTCATTAGGTAAGTAAATGCCAAAGCCAGTGCCATTCCTTCCCCAACACCAGTAGAACTTCACATTCTCCAGGTGTGGCATCTTTAACATATGGTCTCCATATTCAGAAGTGCAAGGAAACAACTTATCAAAGAACAAACCACAAACCCTACACAAAATAAGTGTAAGGTAGCAGTGAGGAATTTAGAAAAACATAAGCCATCTCACATCTTTGTTCTTTATGGATACTTTTACTTCAAAATAACCAATGCAGTGAAAATTTATAATTTGGTTTATTCTCTAATAATTTATCCAGCGATGTACATCTTAATAAGTAGCAATTCTTCTTGAAGGGCAAGTAATTGGCATTCTATTTCCAAGCAGCCTGAATCATTTCCTTACTTTAAAAAAAAAAAAAAAAAAAAAAAAAAAAAAGTGTATTTTAAAACCTCTGTACTCCATGATAAATAAGTCTTTGTACAATTTACTATCATCAGATGAGTTCTGTTGTGGTCTGTACATATTTCATTGCATTTTGGACACAGATACAGAGGTGTTGGTCTATATGAATGCTATTTCCCTTGAGCTAGAAACTGAATTACATGAACACAAATTATTCTATTTACAGAACGAATATTCCAACCTTTTGTGCTGGCCCACATTTCGAGCACTGGCATAATGGATGGCATAATTCTGGTTTCAATGTACTGACTGCATCATCTTCATCTTCTAAGTCTTCTTCTGTCCATTCCAAGAGATAACGTACCTGGTAGAAAAAGCAAGTCCTCCTTTATAGATCCACATCCTAACAAATCTGCATTTATACAAGTACGATTTCACAAACACATACTTGTGAATATCACAGGAAGACTACATAGCTACCTCCTGCCATCACTTCCCCTGAGGCAAATTAAAACATCAAATGTTACTGTTGACAAAGCAGCTAGAAAATTCACCAGGTATAGCAGTGAAGTAAATTATAGATGACTTCCTGCTGCCTAATCAAGACTTCAACGTTCACCTCTGCTCAAACCTTCCAAATCCCTTTAGCTCAGATGATGATTAGACCAAGATTTGTGCCAGCTTGTGTCAACGTGAATTTTGTTTCATCTTTTCCTTCAACAAGCATAAGAAGTGACAAGGATAACAACATTTAATCAATATCCAAGCTTTGCAGGTACACTGATTTTTCCTAGGTCTGTCACTTCCCAGAAGCTTGACAGTTTTACTTCCCCTCAGTGTATAATGCCTACTTTTTAAGAGAGAGCTTTTCAATGAAACTAGCCTTAGGATTCAGACCGTTCCTGAAGGCTTCGCATGCAGTGACACTTACTGCAAGTTGATTTTAAACTAAATTCTATGCAATAAAGCCATTGAAGAAATACATTTTTACACTGGAATCCATTCATCCAGTGTAAACTAAAGATATCTTAGAATAAGTGAAGGCTCCACTATTGCAGTAAATGACCATATAGAAAGTATAGCTTGTATACCTCCTTGCAAAAAGCTGCTACATAACTGAAACATATTAATCCTTTCTAGACAGATCTTCTACACTGTCCTCAAATACTTTTTTCTCACTGAAGACACAAAGGATTTACCGAAGTGAGCTGAATGTCATTTTCAGAATGCAGAACTGTCATTGGGTCAGTTAATTAAAATAACTCTCACTGATTAACATAATTATCTCTAATTTAAAATATAATTGCTTTTGAAGTTTGCAGGTGCTATGATAATGACAAAAGTTGTGTTTTTTTGGCTTCCTGAAGAATAAGAGCATAATTATTATTTTTGTTACATCTTCCAGTTCCATGGCACTTTGTTTAATGCCTCCTCTTGCAAAGCTGAACTGGCTGTCAGAGGAGAAATCTACAACACTAATGACCCTTCTGGTGCTTTCGTTCCTATGGAGACAGAACTCAGGCTGTCAGAACAAGATAAGAATTTTCAAATGACCCTTTTTTGAATAGATACTCAAGCTGTAGATGATATGCTGATATGCATGCATGCCATCCAGTTGAACAGTCCTCTTTCTAACAAAAAATTCTACATAAACTTGAATAATGTGGAAATAAGGCCATGAAAAATAAGGTGACTCTGTCATCTGAATGCATAAGTTAGATTTCTAAATGCTTCTCACTGACGAGATCTCTTGATCATTGCTAGATATTTATTTTCTAGCAGATTCTAACAATATATTTAATTTTCCTTAAGTATTTTATGATAGTTTAGATTTTGACAAAATCTGTGAAGAGTTAATTGTAATACAGTCTTGTTTACTATTTGCTAAGGCCATAGAAAATATCACTGCCGGGTATATTGCTGCTTCTTGAAAGGCCTTAAGGGCTGACTTGGAAATAATTGCTAAGATTAAGCTATGCCGTAAACTAGAGCAATGACATTTACATTTCTTCCCCATGATCCTTTCCTCTATCTCCAGATAAATAAATTCCTTCTTATCATCAAACTGGGACAAAATACATGAGAGAATCAGTATTAACACTGTATATATTTTGCACTGCGCTTTATCGCTTTATTACAACTGCGTGATTAGGATGTGAAACTCCCAAAATACATATCACCTAAATGATTGTTTCAGAATATGCCTCCTGAAGAGAAATCCTGCATTCTCACACAGGTTCATGCTTTTGTCCCGTGAAGTACAAAACAAATCAGAAACATAGAGCTTCATGTATGTTTTGAAAATACAAAACTTGTCAAGTTTTCTAAGCAACGCCTTCAAGTTTTCAATGGAATGTCATTGGAAACATCTTATTTCTCAAACTTCTGGTCATAAATGGCCACAGCAACTCAAAAGAACATCAAAACAACAAGTATCCCAAGCTACAGGACACCAGCTCTGAATCTGATACTATTATAAACATCAACTCATCTACTGAAGAGAGATCTAGACTACAGAAAAGTTGTACGCTCCTAAGGTAACTCCTATTCTGTAGTGACTGCTGTCACAAAAGGTTTCTCTAAGCATAAACTATAAATAAAAGTGTATCACAATAACCAAATAAGGGCCCACTTCTCATTTACGCTGCTTTACACTGCAAAACAAAGAGCAGACAACATTCAAACCATTAGATAATGCAGAAATGCAGGCATGTAGCCATACCTGGCTAGGCATGCATTTTTAAATAGCAGTATTTCATAAGGGACAAGATTATTTAAAGTGGCCAAAATAGAAAATAAAAGAGGATTCTAAAATATACAGAAATACAAGATGCTATTCATGTAATGCCCCCAGAAGATTACCAAAGTCAATATGTGCAAAAATCACACTATGAACCTAGGGAGCAGCAAGAGCAAGAAAAACCATAAAAATTAAATACAAATAGCAACCTTGTATATCAGGAATATTGGGATAAATAAAGACGATTCCACTAATACTAAGCAAGCAGCAAAATTCCCTTCTAACTCCTTGGATTTTACTTGTTATCTGTTCTACCTCTTCCAGCACACTGGAGTATAAAGCTCTGTTATGTACACCATAGCTTGAGTACAGGGGGTTAATGGGATAACAGTGGTTTCCTGTGCACACGGATTCATTTTTCAAGGTCAATTTCAGCTCTTGGAAATCATGAAAATTTCTTGTTCTTTTCAAAAACTGCTACCAACAGAATTCTGATGAAGCTGACCCAGTAATAGCTCTATCAGGTGTGATAACTTTTTTTCCAAAATCATAATAGTGCCCCAATAAATATCATTAATGTAATATAAACCTGCAATTAAAAGGAGTATATTTAATTAAACCAACAGCTCCCATTTAGTTGACACTATGTTATACTAACCAAATTCATTTCTTCACTGAACGGTCATGAAAATGTCAAAATAATAGCCCTCAAAGCACTGTAGGTAAAATGATTTGAGAACATCAGGTGAAAATTCTTGGTAGAAAACAAGCTCTACATGATTGTTTCTGAAGGAAGATACTAAGTGAAGCATTCTTACCTTATTATTTACAAATAACTTCCTCAATTTGAATGAGGTAAATTGGAATTCAGTAACAATTCAACAGCCATTTTAGGACTCACCATTTCCAGATCTCCATCAGCAACTGCTCTTAGGAGTTTTTCCACCTATGTATGAAGAAAATTCATTTGCTTTGTTAGTATTCAGCTACGCATGGAAAATCCTGTCTCTCTTACCAACCCCTAAGCTAATGTAGATGGTTTAGTGCTGGCCATTTTATATTTGCTAATGAAGTTTTAAACAAAAAAACACCTTCCTTTAAATACAAATAAATACAAAAGCTGTGAATTCACAATCATTTGGAGATCAATTAAAGATAAATAGTAGTTACCTAAATAGAACACAAGTTGTCCACATATAGGGAAAGCCATATAAGCTGCTACACATTGCTACGCTGCTTCAGCAGCAGTTGACCATACATTACTGTTGTGAATTTAAAACTAAAGAAAACCTTATGCAAGTGAAACTCCTGCCCTGATGACAACTACTGCTGTCTGGGCTCTTGTCAACTTCAGCAAATTATTCCAGCACTGTGCCAACATCACTGAAGACACTGCTGTACGAACAAAGTTGTTTCAATTAAGTTCAATCTCAAGTTGAATATATCATGGAGTAACAGCTAGACTTGCATTTCAATCTTTATCTAAATATGATAAAGACTGCTCATTACAGCTGCATCTCCACACATTTATAACAAATGCTCAGCATGCTGTACAAAAGGGTATAACTGACAGAAATAAAATACTTTCACCTCTCACTGTTCCAGAAAGCGCGTTATCACGAAAACTCCTTTTAGAAAGCATATATGACAGTATCACTCAAGGGAGGCACTATTATTCATGCGACAGAAATAAACTGACACTCCTTGAAAGTGCACAGCTTTACTTATGTTACTAATGGCAATTAACACATCAGTAACATTGAGCTTATGTTTCATCACTACAGTACTTGAAGCAGTCTTCACTTTTCTGAAAGGGTGGGGAAAAAAGGAATTGTTGACCGATTCTGAGTTGACTACTATTAGATCTAGTTGATCTACTACATTCTGGGACACAGAAATATTTATCAGAAAGCTGTTAGCAGGATAGAAAGCTTTTAATTTTTAAAAGGCATGAACGTACATAAAATGTTTCTGATTAACTCTACATTTTGTGCACGAACTATCAGCCCCTTTCCATAGTGTTTCTGGAAGGAGTTTTATTATTGTTTTATGCCAGGTTACAAATACAAGTAAAGTTAAGAATCTTTAAATTATGTTACACTTGGATAAACAGAATGGTAATGTCAGCCGAGACAGTGCTAACGGTGGATGTGGAGCGGTGAAAGACTGCAAGAGCAGCAAGTGACTTTTAAGGATACTTCAGAATTCTCTGCAGCTATGTAAAGTAGGAAGGGAATCTCAGATGGAAGACAAGCAGGTTGTGAGTGCAATATTTGCTACAGCAAACATGGAAGAATGAAACTAAAAGGAAGTCATATTTCACTGGTCTGATCTCCTTCAGGGTTTTATCAGAACAGGACAAATCTTGTACAGACAAAAGAGGCTAGATAAAATCTCTCCATCCCTTTTTATTTCCTTTTAGGAAAGCTACTAAATTCTGTTCTTCCACATTACTACAGTTCTAGTATAAGGTGAAATTCCTTGAAGTCATGCACTAGGCCCTCAAGGCAGCATTCTTCTTACCCAACTTACAATGTCTAAAAGCCATCTGTATAAATCTAAACTCCCTCCCTGGTACCTGCAAAATAGAATGCAGACAAACAACACCTGAGTACAGCTGAGCTCAAATTAAGCATCTAAGATGTCTAACTAAGATGTCTAACTAACAGGAGAAAAACAGGCGGCTAAACTTAAGACAATTGTCTTTCAGACATGTGAAGGCAGGTAAGCTGTATCCTCTGCACATGCACATCTAAAATGGACCAAATATATTAAGAAGATCTGTACCATCCTTAAATTTCCCTAGCACAGTTCCCTAATCATACAGAATAATGTCATCACAGAAGCTCTTAATGATTTTCAGGGATCAGTCTTATCACATATAAGATACCTAACAGGAATAGCAAGTTACCCACAAGCTCTGATAATTCCTTTCCAAAAACAACTTCCTTAGAGTTCTAAAAACTGCCCCAGGCCTTAACAGTGAAGAAATACATAAATCTATTACGCAGCTTATGGATTATTCATTAAGAGTACTCGGGCTAAAATGTTTGCTTCATGCATTCCTCCATCTTCCCAGCTTGCTTTCTCATTCCTCTGTGGAATGTAAGTACTCTCCTTTAAATGTAAAAATGAAAGAAACAAAGCCACTTGATGAAGTTTACTGTAACTTATTCACATACTCAGCTTTTCTGCTGCTGAACAGAAATTGTACTAAGAGTTATCAGTTCCAACAAATGACATTCCAAATTTACATATCTAGCTCTTTTTCTTTTCTAAGTTGTAAATGAGATGCTCAAGGCTATATGCCATAACCAGCAGTAATAAAGACCCCACTGCACTCCCTTAATCCATGATCTAAGCCTTGAAGTCTGAAAAACTGATCTTATCAGTTTCTCATTACTTCCGGTGGCATTCCCTTCATGAGGAACTCTCAGGATTAGGCTCTTGTCTCTTTGCTTAGTAAGAATAACAGCAGTGAGCCCATTTGAAACCTGGCAAACAGAACTGACCTAAAGCTGGATTACAGGAAGAGGTCATTAACCCCAAGAATATAAGGTGTAAGCTGCTTGTAATCTTTTCCCCTGGTTTGAACTACAGTCTTAGCTCTCATGAGCGATAAATTTGTTCCCTCAAGGAAAAGCAAATCCTCAATCTATCAGGTAAAGTTTTACATACATTAGAGCTCATTTACAGAGCCTGTGTGCACAGAGAAGTACACTCTGACATCTAGGCTCTCACAGGCTAAATAGATACCAAAGTGTGAATTAATATTGTCCTTTTGGCAAACTTAGATGTAAAGTTTCCTGACGATTTTTAGAATGCAGGAAGGTTTGGAAAGAGAACATTATAGCAGAAGGAATGCAAAGAATTAAAATGCAGAAATGATGTGGACAGAAATAAAGACACTGTGGAGATCAAATTGGAAAAAATGGAACAGGAAGATAATGAAATACAAAAAGAAGTATCAGAAGGAGTGATTATATGACAGCCTTGGGAGGGCATAAATCAAAAGTATGGATTTAAGATCCCAAATGAAGCAAAAAAAAAAAAAGAAAAAGGATATTTTGAAGAAGCAGTTTAAAACAGTCCTACACAATATTGCTCTTCCTAGGTTCACTCACGTTGCTTTTACCTCAGTCTTACCTCTTTATAACTGTTCTTCACTTCATCTTGCCTTACATCAATTGATGCTGATGACAAACTAGAGACAGATGATCCTCTGCTGAAAGTTTCTGTTGAGTGTTGAGGAGACCTAAGTGGTGACTTCAAGTTGGGAAAAAGAAAAACAAACAAACAAACAAAAAAAAAAAACAGAAAAACTTGCATCAGATTAAGCAGGTTAAATGTAAGAAAAAAAAACAATCTTTAGTGATTTCCATTGGTTGTTACCTCAGAAGCACTCTGTCCCCGCTCAAAGGTTAGATAGTTTAATTCCATCAGTGACAAAATCTGCATAAAAATATTAAAGAAAACCAATGTAACTCCACCAACTGAAACATAAATTAGCTGACAACCTAATATTAGTAACAGATCACAACTGAGCAGATTAAAAGTACCAGTTTACAAATTTATGTTCTGTACTACTGAGAGATTGCATTCATACTACTAGATTTAAAACACAACCATTTTACCTCAAAAGCAAACGTACATTTTAACTTAAAAAGTATTAAAGTACAAAATCTTCTTAACAGGTAAGCAGCCACACTTCTGTGGAACTACACTGAAGAGAAATGAGGCTGGAAGATAAACAACAGTACCTTGGAATTTAATGCACACTGCAGCGAAGTCTCTTTCATCCGGTTTTGAGTATTTGGATTTGCCCCATTTTGCAAAAGCACTTCTATGATCCCTTGATAACCCCAACGAGCAGCTATATGGAGAGGAGTATCTCCCTTTTCATTTCCAATATCTAGTCTACAGGAATGCACATCATAGTAGACTAATGCTTTAACGCACTGGAAAGAAAAGGAAAGCCATTAATAAATTATTGTATAGTCTCCAATTCATATAACATGTGCAATCCTAAATGGCTTGTTTTCATTCCTATATATTCCTATATGTATTTATTCTCATTCTATATAACCCATTGCCTAAAAGACAGGCTCTTATACTTGAGTGTTATTTGATTTTAACTCTTTGTTTAATAACTAAATTAGCACAATATTATATTTAATGTGAATGTATAATTAAAATTGTTAGGAAGTACTGAATAAAGTCTTAATTTACAGCATTAAACAGTTATCCTCCAATTTATTTTCTTTTTAAAACATGGAAGTCTAGTGCAAACTGGTATCATGGTTTAATTCCTTTCCACTTAGATGTCCACTTAGTTTATTACAAAACAATTACTTACATCCTCATGACCATAAGTGCAGGCTAAATGAAGTGGAGTATTCCCATTATTGTCCTGAACATCAGTACTTGCCTTATAGTGCAATAAGAGAAGCTTAGAAGAAAAATAAAAGCAGACATATAAATAACTTAAAAATTAATACAGAAACAATTGTTACTCTGTATATTCCTTTAGGTTTCTAGTATGATGAAACACTTCATGAAGAACTGTCTGTCCCTCCTGCTTCCAATACTAACAGTCCCTTTTGGCATTACAGTATTTCTTTTTCTCCCTAATCCAAGAAACAAATAAAGCTGCTGGTTACATATTCAGATTTGTCCTTGAAAAAATGAATCATTTACTGCAGCAACGCTGCAATACAGATACCACACAATCATCTACCCCGCACATTAGCGGTCTATAGTGGTGAAGAGATAGAATTATTCAGGCCATGGTAACTCGAGGATTTCACATATACAAAATTCAAATACACAACATAGGCAGTCTATCCTAAACACAATTTGAAGAAATTTTATTAATCCCAATGACTGCAATGGCTCTTTTGTCCTAGCCAAGAGCAAAAAGTTAACAGGTTGTCCACTGATACTACATATCAGAGATTTGTATTAATAAAATGGGTTAATTCTCAGGCATTCACAGCTGTCAATTACTTGGTTATTATGAACGACAGAAAACCTCCCAGTAAAGAAAAACATAAAATATAAAAATAAAAATGCTGAAAGATCCTCAATTCTGACAGCACGTACATGTCTAGAAAAACCTTCTGAGAAGACCTAAATGACTGTAACAGTAGAACAGCTTACTAAGAGTCAGATATCTATTATTTAGGTTAAGTACTTGCTTTTATTTCTAATTAAGCCTTTTAGTGCTTACTGTAACGTTTTGATATCCCTTCTGACAGGCAAGGTGAAGTGGAGTTGAACCGTGGTAATCTGTAGCATTGACAATGGCTCCTTTGGCTATTAGTAAATCCACTAATGATGTTTGCCCTTGGAAAATACACAGTCATTAGAAAAGAGAAGTAATGTTTCCTAAAGAACATTGCTACTTTTCACATTCAAACATGATAACCTCCATTTCTGCATGCTATCCTTCTACATGCTGTATATTTACTTCCCACTGGGTATTTTCTGTTGTAAGTTACACGTGGTCAAGACTCTGCAAAAAAAACACCAGTTAAGAGCAAGTTTTGTATTCTGAGTAAGAAAATAAAGCTGTCACACAAACCTTTCCTATGTTAGGACTCAAGATAATAATGAAAGAATGAAGCTGGTTAAAAAAGGAAGCACGAAGAAAATTAATTCAACTTCTAAAAAATTGAAGATCAGTGGTACAGTGAACGTTACAAGACAGAATATGGTACAGAATCTACCATGTACAGCCAGTTACAGGAGAAAGAAATTATTAATTTCTCAATTTGCAGGTTCTTTAAAAACACAACTGGCTTCTGATGAAATTGTAACTTTTTTCACAACTGAAGAAAGAACCATGGGAGGTAAAAGTAAACCGTTGGCAAACAAACAATAACCTGCCCATAAAAAACTTAAAAGAGCTTAAATAAAAATGCAGCAACTTCAGCATAGACTGAGATATCAGTTCTCATAGCTAAAAACACTTCAACATTAAATTCACTGTATAGTGAAAGTTGGAAAAGATCTTAACAGGAAAAAGCAGAACATAAGGTGAAAACATTAGCAGTGAAAACCAGTGAGACTCACCACAAATAGCAGCTATATGGAGTGGCGTATATCCCCGGTCATCTCGGGAAAATGCAGTGACAATTGAAGGATCATTCAGTTTCCTATAAAACACAGTGGTTTAAAAGCAGCTCAATTACCTATGCAGCAGGGTTAATGAGGAGATGAAGAGAGAGAAACCGCCAAGGCTCAAAGAAACTGATGCTGGAACTCCTTTAACTTCTCGCACTAGTCTATCCAGTCTTTTAGGTCTTCTGAGAGTGTTTTTGTCCATGATGTGTAAGTTTTGCTCAAGAGAAGAAACATTTCACATCACACTTACCAAAAGATATACAGCCTCCATCACAAAATCTGCCTGGATCCAAGGCATTCAGTACCCTAATATTTCTTCTGCTGTTTCAAACTACATGAACATAAGCTCTCTATTATATCCTGAAGTGCTACCAACATCCTAAAGTAAATCTTAGATCAACACTTCTTACATAGTTTTTCCTACATTTGCAGAGATAAAAAGTGCTTACCCAGAAACTAGCTTCTCACATTTGTCACAGTAACAGAGCGGATGACACATTTTTTGTACAGTGTCCTTATCACTGTCACCTTGACTTAGTAATCGCTCCACTTCCTCCTGATTACCTGAAGCAATATGCTACAAAAAGCCAAGAGAAGAAATAGGATGAGGAACTGATGTGAAAAAGCAATCCTCACAAAAATTTAGAAAAAAGAAAAACAATTTACCAAAGCACAAAAACAAAGAAACTGATCATGAGTGACACATACTCAACCGTTAGAAAGCAGAAATGAACAATGTCACAGAACAAAACCCTTTAATGGGCATTCAGCATTCAAAATTATCTGTTCTTGGCTTACCTCGCTTTCTATTAAAAAAAATTAAAACAATTAGACTCAGTCACAAAATTGAGCTCCTCTGTGCAAAACCGTTTCTATAAAATTACTATGTCTCTAGCCATAAGCAGCAAACACATATAATCAGAAGCTCTGTTTTGTTTCCTTGTTCAAGGAAAATTCTTCTAGAACAGTTAGAGATAAGCACATAACATGAAGTAGCTATCAGGTGACTATGTTTAAGTTATTTCAGCAATCTCCTTAATTTTAAGCACTAAAGGTAGTGAGACACAAGCAATTACTAGCATTACATACTTGCTTTAAATGGACTGATCAATACCAATAGCAGTAGCATTTCATTGTTGTCTGAGTCCATATTTCTTAAGCACCATAAAGTCATATTAACTTGGTAACGTTTCAGCACAAAAACACAAACATACTTTTATCAGCTACTAAAACACATTTTGCAGTACAAATATAATTAACGCTGTGTCACATTTCAGAAAATCGCACAAAGGACAGCATATAAATATGAAATAAGTACACATGTAGTTCTGCCAATAAAGTTACCTTAAATAAGCAATCTATTGGAGTAGTAGACATCTGGGATAAAAAGTTCATCCTTTGTTTTAAAAGCAACTTGTCATACAGCCTGTCAGATTCCTGAAGACAAAATATGTAAATAAATTTCCAAAATACTCATTTCCAAGTAAAAATTACAAGTTACGGCCAGTAAAAAATTCAGATTTTCTTGAAATTTCATCAAGTCCCAAAATCAACACCTCTCTTGCAATGCTGCCTAAAAAAATCCTCTGTTGTTAAAGCCAATAAGGTTAGAAACATCTGAGAAGTCTACAGAGATGAAGGTTCAGATCTGTATTTCACAGTATGTTATCCATAAATAGAACTTTTTTCAATACTTCAAACGTTGACGTTTTAGAATGGATAAATAATCCAAGACTGCAGTAGAAACCGAGCAGCTGCAACCTGGATGTGGATCTGTTCTCCATCACAATATTAAAACCTCCTTCCTAGAACACATGGTATCTTTGTAAACTCAGTAGTCAGTCAGTCTGCACAATCTTAACATGTCTACACGGTCATTTGGTTGTATGTTTATAAGATCACCCTTCCTAACACCATAGCTAATTTAACTGACAGCTTTTAAAGCCTCAACTATTTGGGAAGGCATGCTGTGTTCAGCTATTTATGCCATTTGTTTTGCTTTTTCTATAATAACAGAAGAAAAACTGTTAGCTTGGATTTCACCTTGTTAAGAAGAAAAAGTTGTTGGCTGATGTGAAATTATTTTCATTGGTTTTGAATTTAGAGACATACAGTTTTTCAAATCTAGGCATTTCAGCTAAAGATACCCATGTCCATCTTCTCAGAATAACAGAAGTACGTGATCACTGATCGCCTTGGATAGATTCTTACCTGTGATCAGAAATAATTCCATTTAAAAAAAAATTGATCAAAATCTTTATTAGCTATGAAAAATTTTAAAGCTTTAATACTAAAATCACTGAAGAATTTCATTAGCTGCTTGCATGCTTTGTATTTTATAGAGAATCTCAAAAAGCAGCTAAACTTAGCATAGCTTTAATACTGTCCCTTTCATGGTGTATTTTACATGAAAAGCATTTCAAATATGGAAAAAAACAAGGAGCTATTTAAGACAGTAATCCTTATGTGAAGAGATATGTCTGTCATTTTATTACATGAGTAAGGAAGAAATCCATTACAGGTGAAGCTACATATCATTTATAAATAAGAACTTGAAAAAAAGCAATGGCATAAAAATCAGGAATTGGTTGAAATACCAAAATAAGTCCTTCAAAGACAAAATTGTTTGTAACAACTTAACTTCCACTCCAATAATTAAAATAAAGCTTTGCTTAGAGTGGGAGCTCTAAGCTCAGCTATTTCTAAGCTTTATTTAATCTACAACCAAACATTAATGATGTTTTTATCTGATGCGATTCTTTATACAAAGAGATGCATGCACCCAAAGAGGTTGCTCTATGCAGCAACATATCCAGAATAATTCCACCAATAACCATTTACAGCTTGTGAAAACTCCCTCTTCAACCCACTCCCTGAACCTTATTTACCTCAGCTTGTGTTACAAACTTCCCTACCTGCCCTCCTATATGCACTTCTTCAGTTCCAACTTCAGGGCCACCTACAGCTCCTTCCATTCAAGAGTCTAAATTCTACCTATTTTCTTGTGCACAGAAAAGTCCCTGTTTCATATCCACCTTCAACTCTCCAAATTGGGTCTTACTATGTAGTAGCTGTACACAGGAATTTAACAAGGGTCCAACACTTATTAGACTAGAACCCCATTAAACAAGTTTGACCAGCACCAGAAAACAAAATGTAGTCCTTCACACTATCAGTTGCATGTTTCTGTCCTCCTTTTGACCCACACTGAAAGTGTCTCTCCAAGGCTTGCATGATCTTTAGCAAAGAACTGGGTAAGTTTTTCTTAAGTGCAATTTTCTTTCTGACATGAAGATGATATACCATTATCCCACAGGGTACATTAGCTCCCTATGGAGTTCTCCTTCTGTAGTTGGTTTCATTAGGGATTGGACAAGAGCATTAGTCAGCCATCAGAAACGCCATCTGAAGCCAACTATAAAATTAAACATAGCCACATGAGGAGCTGTAATGAAGGCCCAGGGCACAGCAATGTTCTTGCTCAGAGCCTGAAACCCTTCAAGCACAATCTGGAAATAGAAGCCATGGGACATTGATCTGACAACTGCTGCTTTTAAGCAGAAAGCAGATCTCCTTTAACACAGAATAAAGGAAATACCTAAACTGCTAGTTTCTGAAGAGAGCAATTCCATCATAAGTTTCTTTTATGTTCATCCATCTCCTTACTTTCTTTTTCAGTTCCCATGGTGGGGCTATCTGCTACAACAAAGAAGCAGAAACTAGGTGTATCACCTTTCCTTTCTACCTGCAGTAAGGATGATTGTCTTTCCTTTTAAACTGTGCTAGAGACCATGGGGTGATTCATTTCCTTGTCTTCAAGACTCCTGTTCGCCCCCCTCATCTAGTAGGCTGACTGCTGTGATAGGAGGTGTGGAGAATTCCTGTTGCTTGCTCATACACACAAGAGAAAAGGCAGAAAGCAGGGAACTTGAAGTTCAAGTCTGGAGATGATCCAGCTGAGATATGGAAGAAAGCTTGCTCTTCTGAACACTGTATACTGGTGCAGACACTTAAGTAGCATAGGATTGCCCCCATACAGACTGCGATGTAGTTCGTCTTTCAAGACAAGCTCCCAGATAAATAAGTACAATATCTTACTGGCAGTGACACTTACCAGGAAGTTATAATCACTAAGGGCAATTCCAGTTCATAAAAAAGGAAAGCTAGCCTTAGCTGTGTAAGAAGAGATAGAAGCAGGCACTTAATCAGAAATAGTTTTTATTTTCTTCAACTTGCTGATATTTTTGTGGAAGATAATTCCACTTTGGCTCCAGTTCTCCTTCTAGACCATTAGCACTGCTATTTTTGTATTAATTATTAATGTTAGCCAAGTGACTGCAGGAAGCAAAATTGACTGGCAAGTTGTTTTCCTTTTAAACTAACATTTTTATTCTTTTTTTCCTTAACAATTTGAAACAACACTGCAAACATGTAGTACCATAATTTCTTTACACATAAAAAGCAAGTGTTTTTTTTTGTGTACAAAACCAACACATGCATGACAAATTCATGGAGAGAATAACAAAAAACAAAGCCACAAATAGCAAAATGACTAAAATGATAGTTAAGTGTTTAAGATTGTGCCCCAGGTTGTCCCATTCCAAGCCCTGCACACTGAACCATCAGTATGGCTCCTGCAATTACATTCCAGTACTCTGCAGTTGGACAGACTGAGACACATCAAATTCATTCCAGTTCTGAGTTAGCTACTTTTGATTTCTATAACAGTGCATGAAAAAAAAAAAAACAACATTTTGCAATAGTAGACTTATTTTCTTTTGAGCAGAAGATTCAAGATTGAATATCTTTAATAAGCTAGAAAGTTTTCAGAGCACAAAAGTTTCTAAAGTCACATCAATATCATTCTGGATCCCCAAAGAGATTAGACCTGATTGACAGAAGGTCTAGCTGCAACGGATCCACAAACTTCTAGTCCCTGCTGTGTTAGAAATCCTGAGAAACAAATTTGACCTTCAAGCACTATCTAATATGATACAGTCCTGCACTCCCACTAAATTATCAACTTTGTGTAATGGAGTTATGTGCATCTCAAACACTTTTATTTTTAAAGAACTTCAACTGCAGTGTAATGTAAAATTATCCAGTAAATCTTCATTCTGCTAGCTAAGCTTTTTAAAATTTCAAGAAAAATGTGTTTAAGTTCAAGCTATGCCTACTATAATGTACTGCATTGCTTTCACAACCACAACAGAATGAAGACAGAAAGTATTAAAAACTTTCTTAAAATTCAGCTCTTGAGGAAAAAAAAAAAAGAAAAAAAAAAGGGATGTCATTGTTTCTAGTTATAATGAAGAGACACATTTACTTCAGATTTACCTACTCCTTAAAGTGTACAGTGAGCATGTGTTGCTACAGGACTGGCACTTCATTCTAACATTTTAGCTTCTGCTTCAGGCACAGCTGCCTCCTAACCTTAGAAGGGTGAAAAATAAACTTGTTAGCTCTTTGCTTCTTCTGATTGGATTTACCACAACAGTATATAGCTGTGCACCCTTATCAAAATCACATTTGACAGACTTTAAGAGTAGCTTACTGTTGATCTGTCAGAGAGGTTGCCTTGTCGTATGTATTCTACTGCAGCCTCAATTGAGGTTAGACAGTATCCCAATTCATCCTTCACCGAACTGCAGAGCCTGAAGTTCTTGATGTAACTCAAGTTGGCCATCCTGAAATAAAGTTAAAACCATGAATCATTAAAGTTGACACCAACATGTCATACTTTAATATCACGGGTCACTTCAGACAATCCAGGCAGATATTACATGTGAGTTAAGAAAAACTTCTAGAAAGATTGGTAGGCTGGCATTATCATAGCTGTTATGAGCTTTGCAGAAGGATCTTAACACTTCAGTTCTTCATCATGAGATACAAAGTTAAAAACTAGATATAATAAATATGAAGGACAAGGTAAGGACAGCAGTAAGAAATAATGTCTCACAAGTTTCAAGCATCATAAGTACCACATTAAATAAATAGCATCTGATATTTGGGATATACCAACACTACTGCCCAGATAAACCTGAAAGGTTTATACATACCTTTCCCAACAGATGAAATAACCATAAGAGCATATGCTAGCAAGCAACTAAGCATTCAAATCACATTTCTCCATATAACATATCTCAAGCATCTAGAAACTGCATAAAGTTTTGCAGTTCCAATGCAAATGTGGATGAACCAGTACTAAGTCCACACCAAACATGCAGATCCAGTAAATGGAAGATTCCCCCATGACAACAGATTTCCTGATTTGGAATCAAAACAAACAACACTTGAATTCTGAGTAAGTCCTGAATTCTGTCACATCTTTGCTGTTTATCTGACTAGTTTTCTGTATCACATTACCCCTCTTAGACTTTGGGTAGGCTATTACTAGAAACATTTGACCCCACTGCACCATTATATACAATATGATGGAGCTTTGTACAGCCAAAGTAGTTACATACCAGTTTGGGATTTCTGTTTTTACAAGTAAATACAGCAAGACAGAGAGTAGATCATCTGCACACATGGTTTCCATGTTAACTAAAAGAAAGAATTTATATCTGATGTTAGTAAATCTCACAGTTCAAACCAAAACTAAATGCCTATAAATGTAGCTCTGTCTTTTAAGACTAATGGTCAGCTCTCCCAATTGACTAGTAACCAATGCAATCTTTTGAAAGTATGTTCTCAATCTCTCTCTAAAAATAGACTCCCAGAAGCCAAAAAAACAAATACAGCTGCAATATTTAATTAGTATTCCCTCCTTCTTCATTGGAGAAGTCAGAACAGTGGCTTGAAGGTGAACACTGTCCATTGACATGCTTTTTCATATCCAAAGGGCCATCCAGGAGAAAGAAAGTGATGCTGTGAAGTAAGCAGTATTCTAGTGCACCACTTTGTTTGTCTATTGGTAGGATCTTCCCTTTCCAGGCTACTTAAAATAAGAATCAGACCAACAGGTCTGTACTTTCCTATCTCAGAATCAACAGTGGCACTCTCAGTGCAGTATAAGGTTTGCCTGACCCTGCCCCCCCAACACTGCATTTTGCAGTGATACGTCTGTATACTTCTGATTTCAAGATTATCACAGAGCACAGACAAGAATAAGCCAACAGCAACCTTCAGTGTTTTAAATGGATGACATTTTTTTCCTACCTGAGAAAGTCCTAGATTACATAAACCTGTCACATGCTCTAGCTAAAACATACAGTTAATCAAGTACTTCAGCTCACTCTTATCATAAAGTGAAGTGCTCATGTTGCAATCATTTTATTTAGATACCTGCAGACCTGAATGTACTTGCTTAACACACAAGACTAATTCAAACAGGTGTTTGTATACCACAATGCATAGATGTTAAAAAAAAAATAATAATCTCAGAGCTTTATTTTAAGTCACTGTTTACTGACCTCTTTGGCTAGGAGACTGCATAATAATTTGTACCACTTTTCGTAGACAGAGTAACTTCTGTTGAGGGGAAGTACATTTGTTCAGCTGACTCAGTTCTCGCTTCGCACGTGGTATATTAAAACTACAAAATAATTTGAAAGAAATTGTCAACATGCACCAGAGCTTCTGTGCAGGATGCCCAAAATCCAAGTCTTAACTTATCCAGAGCTGAAATGAAGAATGGTATTAACTCATTTCTATCTCTACCCTACACTTGCGTTTCTGTGCCTTGTAGATTGAATGGGAGGCATAAAACCCCCAAAAGTAAAGAAGTTCAATGAAACAACTGCCTTAAAATGATACAATTTTTCTATCTCAAAGGAATGAAGCATAATAAAAACTTACTGTTGCCTGAAGGATAACTTTTTGGCCTGCCAGAAAGCTATTTGAGACAGGATCTCAGTGACTGCTCAAAAACTAACACTCACCTAAATTCAGGTTTTACTCCAATGTCTTTTTGCTGGAGCTCTTGAAGGCTTCTTGTGATTTTGTTAAAAGCAGCATCCTAATCATAAGAAAGGTAGTAAGTGTTTAAAGTGCACTGGATTAACGTAATTGATCTTCAGCAACCAAACAAACTTACCTCACTTGCCTCAATAGTCCCCACATATTTAAAGACTAGATCATAAATAGCATGGTGGACATACATCTGTTGGAAAAAAAAAGAAACAGTAACTTAGACATGAAAGGAAAAGCTAAAATTGCTTGCCAATTGTCTTCCTTCATTTCAGATGCTTACTTCAACTGCTTGTTTAATCAGATTCATCTGCTCCTCCTGCTTCGCAAGCATCTTCTAAAAAAGGAACAGCCACATAAAGAGCAAGAGAGTTAAATGATTTATTGCTTAAGTAAAGCTACATACTATGTATTTAGTGATGTGTTTACCAAGTGTGAATCTCTCAGAAGATGCTGGAGACATTTGGTATAAAGTGCACTGACAGAATCCTAGAAGGGAAAAGAAAAAGTAGATCTGGGTTAATGATATGAAGCAACAAAGCATAAAAGAGCAAAGAAAGGAGAGCTTCTCTGACTTAGAAGCATACAGTATCAACAAAAGCAAAGTAAGATCTTTAGCTAAAAGCTGCATTTACATAACAGTCAAGATGCAGTCATTCACAGTTACAAATTCTTTTCTCCCTACCTACCTTCCTCCCTGGACTATTCTGACATAGAACATCTTAACAGGAAAAGATATCCAAAGCAGTGAAGTGAATTATGTTTAGTAAATTAAGCATCAAGCAGCAAGATACTGACTATGTAATGGCGGAGGCTTTTCCGTTCGTGCTCTTTAAATGTTCGGTAGAAAGATCCTATGTATTTATCAAATCTCTCACAGTGCCTTCCCAAGAATTCTCTAACATCTTCAATATTTTTCAGAGAATAAAGATTTGATGAAGCTGTAGATTCACCTAAAAATGAAACCCAAGAGTTAACACACTGAATACACATGCACAGTAAAGCTCTTTCTTGTTCCAGATATCAAGCCAACTTGTGTATAATGAAACATTAATTCAGCTTACTGTGCTTCTAAACGAAGGTGTTGCTTTCAATTATGAAAAGATATTGCAGTTAAATAGCCACACTTAAAGCCAGCTCTCTTGCCTTTTATGTCAAGGATCTGTTTGGAATAGCTAAAAACTGATTCTGCATGCTCCTTTCCTCTGGGGTAATTTATTGCTGCTCATAACTTGAGCGTGAGACAGGCATGAAATTTAAGAAAAGCATATTACAGTACTGAGTGCAGGAAGATAGTGTGCTCTAAACAAGCTGTAAAAAATAAAACACCCACATCCTGAACTTCTACATAGTCTATTTAATAGCCTATTATTATGGGCACACTTTCTTCTGAATGAGGGCAAAGTCGCATCAAGTAAATGTTGAACCAAATCCACTTTTCTTCTAAATAATACAGTTTGATCGCTTGTCTCAAATTCATATATTTATATATAGCTTTTCCAAGAAAATTTCTCTAGGCAAGGTCTTCATCTGCACTCAAAAGGCAACTAATATAGCAGGCTCAGATCTTATTCATTTCAAATTACTTAGAAATTACAAGTCACCTCACTTCTGAAAGTCACCTCACTTCTGCTGTATAACTAACAATAGCTAAAAGCTGAAGAATACAGTTTGAGTCTGTATGTACTTCAGCTATTTTATTTCCAGCATAATGTCCACACTACTCACTGTACTATTTTCACATTTGCCCAGTACCACTTTGTCATTTGTTTACATTCTTACTTGTTTAAAAAGATGGGATGCTTTTAATTCAGAAAAAGCATACATGTCAAGTAGCTTCAGTTACTTACTTGGTACAAAATTTCATAAGGAAATTGTGTTACATTCACAGCTTGAGTAGCAGCCTTGGAAAGAGCATTCTAGCCTCATCAAGAGGCTTTTCCAATATTAGGAAAAAAATAATACATTAAATGAAATACGACAGATTACCTCCAAGAGAGCTGCTATGTGGCTATGCTACACAGCCTTTAAACACTAATGAAGTCACTATGAATCTACCACAATCCAATTTTGTACATCCACGGTGCATCTGAAGACAGGTGTGATTAAAGAGATTAAATTCTACCTTTAAACAGTCAACACTGACACTGAACTTTGCTAAAAAAAAAAAAAAAAAAAAAATCAAGCATTATCAAGTACTCCATAATTCTTTACCATGGAGACTGGCACACAAGTCCTATAAAAATAAAGTTTGGTTGGCACCAACTTAATGCTTTTACAGCAACATACTAACATCCGCACCACCATATCAGTAAATGCTGAGAGCTTCAGTCAACTCCGCACTTTTCAGAATGAATAAAGCACATTAAATAAAGATAATGATTTGCTTGTGTGCAAACAAGGCCAACTGTTATCACTGCAATACCTACTTGAGCTTTCTGTTTTTTCCAGTGGATGAGCTATGCACAAAATACTAAAGCTCTCTTCTTTTTCATTGTAAAATGTTTCCTCAAAAAGAACAGGTACCGAGAGATGATCATCAAAACCAGTTCCTAAGATGACAAGATTTCCTTGTATGAAGATCTCCTGGGGAAAAAAAAAAAGTGGAAAATTTCCAAAAAAACACAATTACCCTGACTTCTGCACTGCATAGTTACATCTCCAGGGAAAAAAAGAGAATCTTGCAATATGGAAAAATCACAGACTCCATATTTTTCATTTTTCTAATGCTATGTAGGCTGAAACAGGGATTCCTGCAGTTTACAACAGCTAGCTGAATCTTGCTTGTACTCACTTTCCTTACAAGCCCCCTACTAAAGAAGCTTTGGAGAATATCTGAAACCAAGTAACTATTTGCAAGCTTTCAAGCACTTTTAGCAAAAGGGAATTAAAAAAAAAAAAAAGCAATTTATATTTGTTGTCTAGAGTTCTGCTTAGTAAGACATCATCCAACCTGGATATGTTTCTCATGCTCAGCTTTATCTCCTAAAGAATTCCTGTGTGAACACTTACAGTAGGAATACCTCAATTACTGCCTGCAAAAAGGTGTAAAATCTCAGAATGTATTGCAAAAATGCCAAGCAGAAAAGAAAAAAATTAATCTCAAACCTACGCAGCATTAGCATTGGTTATAATGGCTTTGCATTAGTTACTAAATCAGGCCTCAGATACTACTCAGTATTATCTTAATTGTCTTAACCCTTGATGAACTTGCATCTGCATACAATACAGGCAGCATGAAATCTAAAGATGCAGTTAAGTGAAAATGGCCCTTACACCAGGCAACAAGATTCCTAACAGCAAAAAAATGCAGAGAACCCATTTACACAGTCAAAAATTCCATAACTAAAAAACACAGATAAGCTTGGCAGTTACTTCGCTGAACTAGTAAACTGAAAATCAGAGTCAGAGGCATCTAAATAGGACAACAATTCGAGTCTATACCAAACTAGAAAGCAACATATCCTGGAGAACAGAGTCTTAAATGAGTGACACTTATTCTGGCAGTTAGCGCTAACTCTTTGCTCGCTCCTGTAACCACCCTTAGTTCAGCTGGTTACCGACTGCAGGAGTCATTTACCAGGGTCCCCAAGATACCAAAACGGAAATACCTTTCCATTTAAGGTCTGAAAATTTTCTTCTAGTGGCTTCAGTACATAAGATTCAAACTGGCAGTTGGAAAGACAGTTGCTTGAAAGGCTTCCTTTGCATGGAACTAATACCTAAAATAGAGTTAGATCACAATTTGGAGATAAATACAATAAATCACCAGTTAAATTCTGATTGCTTTTGCCTTTCATACTACAATAGATTGGCAGATAAAGACAAATTCTTGACTAGTAAGCAAGACTGATTTTAATATCTGTTTACACAATGCTAATCTAATTTTCAATTTGTTCTGATGTCAAGAAGCTCAAACTTCCACTGTTAATCCAAAGGAATTTTGAGTTTCTTCTCTTAATTAAGTTATTCTCCATTCAGACTACATTTTCTCAAAGCAAGTTCAGTCATTTGGAGTAAAGCAGTGGATGAGCACTTTCAAGTTACAGTAAATCACTATTCAATGAGGAAAAATTATGACCAAAGTGTGAGATCTCATTCAATACCAGGAACTCTATACACACTGAAAATACATTTCATGGTCAAGAAATAGCATCTTCAAATTGCTTCTGCTCTTAAAATGACATCCCTCCTTCTCCAGAAGCAGCAGTACAACTCAATATGAATACTTTTATCCTGGAAATGTAGAGTTGCTCCTTTAACAGCTCCAGAACCACCAGTACAAGAGATCAGACTTAAGAACAGAAAGAAAATTTTAAATGTCCCTGAGTTCCGGAAATATTTGACAGATTCTTGCCTTCACAAGCAGCATTCAACTCCTCACTGATTCTCCAATAATCCTATGAGATTGTACAGATATTTACTAAACTTGAATATATACAGATATTTCTTTAAAGATATGCTTTTAATCCCACATAAGATCACAGAGGTATCAATACATACTAGACGCCAGCAAGTTCATGCAAGCATGCAGTACAGTTAATGCAAAGAATTAAGGATAAGATTAAGGTAAGGATGCCAATGACATTAGGCGTTAGAATACAGAAATGCTAAAATCTGTTCACTAATCATATCACTATCATAAGTAATAAAAAAGAACCCTGTCCAATTAAAGCTTAGTTTTATAATCCAATAGAAATAAGCTGAGTTTAATGGAATCTCCACACACTTAATTTTATATCAACACTTACAGTAAGATACTCAAACTGGAAGTTTTAAAGAATTGCAGTTTTTTGTTCTAACTCATTTTAATGTCTTTGATTTGCTATATAAACTTGTCAAAAATAAGTGATTGTCCACCAGGGATTTCAAGAAGCCAATCCTAATTTAAATCACAAGTGCAAGAATATACAACTAGTTGGTATCAAAGAAAATAAGTTTCCTGTGAAGGTTAGAAGTTATCACTTCCATCTGTTACTACTGTGCAGTTACCAAGAGATCCATGTTTGCAGACAAAACATTTTGCAGGCTTGTACTGATCTTCATGAGTCTTAGGAAGCCTGGAATTTAAATAAAAATTTGCTGCTATTTAATAAGTTATTTTGGAATACACTTATTTATACTTACAATACCATGGAGTTCTGCAACTTTGCTGCAGAGATCAGGACGCCGCTTCTGAATGGCCAAATAAAAGGGATTTTTCAAAAGGTCTTCATCATACATAGCCATATGGACTTCAGATACCCAAAGGAGATTTTCTAGAAAACATATGGAGAATGGTTAAAGCATAGTACGTGTATCTGTGAATGTACAATATTGCAAAATACCAAAGGGGCAAAAAAGAAGTAGCTTCAGATATTGGATGTGAGCTGTCAATGTCATGCTTAATTAACTAGAAATTAAATGTAGTCACACAAAAGTTACTCAGAAAGAACTATGTGCAAACAAAACAACACATTTCCTGTTACACATGTACCCTCATAAGGTCTCCTTTGCCCTTTAAGTGCATAATCTCCTGGGGAAAAAAAATAATGGAAGAAGATAGGTATTAAGATCTACATTATAACCACTCTGATAGACAAGCTAAGGTCTAACACAAAACAGAAGATTGGAATTAAAAGCTTCTTCACAGCAGATTCTACAATGCTTCAGGACATTGATGCTTTCACAGTAAGCATAGCTAAGTGACAATTACTGACCCACACATCAGTGAGACACTCAGACAATGTAACAGGAATCCTTGTGTAATGTAATCCCCAACTTTCCAGGGAAAGTTTCAGGAAAGGTACAAGAAGCAGGTATGTATAACCAAGTCGTAATTAAAAAGACACCAATGAAATCCAATATTTGTGGTAACCTCTACTTCCATTAAAAAGGTGTCAATCATCTGAAGTTAGACTGACAACATCTGGAAAAAAGCAAGCAGAAAAGCTACCAGAGACAGAAATCCAACTGCTAGACAGTGGAGAGTTATCACAAGGTGCGTCACAGGGAAAAGAGGATTTCCAGAGACACTAAACTCTCAGTTTAAAAGGCCTCTGTACTTTTAAATCTCTAGACACAAGGACATGAAAAACCCTAATAGGACCCTTCTAGACTAACTTCAGCATTGTTTCATTCAGAAGAACAAAGGTTAATAAGTTTACAAGGGCTTAATTAAGTAGACTGTCATATCTTTTCCCCTCATCCAGATTCCTCAAGGAAACTAGAAACGTAAGTCACATTATTCATCCTGCAATTTCATCTATATGTACCAGGAAAAGGTAAGAAGAGCAGCAGAAGTTCAATTTGAACCAAGCCATCCTTACACAATCAGCATTTCCAGGTTGGAAATGCCCATGTCGGGATGGGGCTCTGGGCAGCCTGGTCTAGTTTAGAATATGGAGGTTAGTATCCCAGCTTTTACTCAGCACATCACTTGCTCAGTGTGAGCTTCTGATGCTTATCATGTAGTACTTGAAATACTGAGCTACAGTAGTGCTGTACTGGTGCCACAAACACATCCTTCTCCACAGACTGGCAAAGAGACATGAAACCGCTATGTTACAGTATAAAAGGATGGAAAAATACATTCCCAATTTGCACAGATTTTTAAACAGTCCTTTAATTTCAGCTATGCTGTTAACTGATCTATTGTCTGTTACCTGATCTATGTATTATCTGGGCCTTCCTTATAATTAGGCATAAAGACAACTCACAAACACAATCAATTAAGCCTGAAAGCCATTCCCACTATAAAGTTATCAGCAGTTTCTTGCAGCCTGGATTGCCTCTGCATGAGCCACTCAAGACAACTAAGGCAGTGGCAGGTAACTGTCTCCAGCAGTTTTTTCTCATGAAGCTCCAGATAAAACAGTTCATCCACTTCCCAAAAGGACAAAAAATAATATCTATTATGAAAGGACATCAATTTGGCTGTGCCAGCACTAAGACAGGACTTACCAAGCAGGACTAATTACCTATTAACTGCCTATGAACAACCAGCTAAGCATTAATTCCAGTAAGATCTTAAATGACTTAGAGCTCACAGTTCAAACATGTTTCAACATCAACTTATTAGATAGAAGGCAAATGTCATAGAGGGCTGTATGAACACATGCAGCAAGCAAAATCATCAGCCACAGCAAAGCTTGTTTTGGAGCCCCATATTCCTTTTTGGGTGCTACTCTTCAGGGAAGATGAAATTGACTGACGAATCTTAAGTGAGAAAGGCAGAAAAGGAGGATGTAGGACACAGTGCAGTGCAGTGATACTAGTTAAGGTAAAGAAACTGCATGAGATAAGTAAGAAAATCCCCCAGATGTACCAAAGTCTCAGCAAGGGCATTTTGTTCCACATCTCTAGAAGAAGAAACAGGCCTCAGCTTAGGTAAAGAGAGTCAGGTTACAGATCAGGAAAAACTTAAAAAAAAAAAAAAAAAAAAAAAAAAAGGAAGATAACCACATGTTTTAGATCACTTGTCAAAGCTATCAAGTCTCCAATATTGTAAATCTTTAAGAACCTGTTAGACAAACCTCTACTAGAAGTGATACAGATCCAGCCTTCTAGCCTCACTAGATTACACGATCTCTCAGGACAGTTTCCAAAACAAGCTTCTACTGAAGTAGATGGCCCACCAAAGCATCTTCACCGGCCTTTTCGTTTGTGAATCCACGTTCACTATCCAGTCAACTGATAGATGAAAATGCTGTGACTCTCCACACAGTACGTAAGAAAGTATTAGGATGCCAGGTGCTGGGCAGTGGTGAGATGAGCCAAGAGCACATTGACACAAGAAGGCAACTAAGCATCAGACTGCAGAGACAAAAATGCAGTGCACTTGTGTTTCTAATTGCTATATTATCCCTTTTTCAGCTTAATGAATCTAAGTCCAAAGAATTTTTTCCCATAGTAGAAAAGAAAAGGAAGAACACATTCCACAGACCTCCTTTCTCCAGAGACCTGCATCTCAAAGAAGTGAGAAGCTCTGCCTACAGGAAATTAACAATATTTAATACCCTAGCAAAACAGATAGAAGGGATGTATTGGAGGGGAAAAGCCCCCTAGAAAACCTTAGCTTATGAAATTTGCTGTTTGACTGATGCAGCTCTTAAGTCATCGCCTTCACGTAATTAAAAAAAAAATCAGGGTACTGTAAGAACTGTTTCAGTTAACAGATCAACCCACTAAGTTTGAAACAACAACCTACAGATCTGGTTCATGCGTTACCACACAGAGCCAGGCATTTTGCTTACTACAGAACTACTGACTGCAGCAATAATTCATACTCCTTAAGTTCAAAAAAAGTGACAAGAATCTGCATTAATTCTAGCATTTTAGCTACCATAGTATAACTAAGATGCTGTCAACATGCTAAAACCCTAATAAGGAAGCTTTAACTTCTAGTTCACAGAAGAGTTTGCCACTTACCTTGAGCAGAAGCAGGCTGAAGACTCTAATCTGCAAGCTGGGCACATAAAGCTGCAACCAAGTCCCTGCACAGCAGGAAGTAGCAACCAGTAGTCAAATGAGTACTGTTTTGAGAATGGATTCTCAATTTCCTTCTCTTTTCTCAACACCTTTCTCTTAGCCCTGCATCTGCACACTGCTCCATTAGTGGATGGCTACCATATCTGATTAATGTGTGGGCATGCAAAAGAAAGAATGAAATGTTCATTAAATTAACTGAAGCAGTTAATCAACTACATTTGCCCAGACAAATGGGGATGTTTTGGCCATGTAGTATTAGTAACTACAACAAAGCCAAGTCCTTCACACTCCGCTTCTACAAATCAAGTCTAAGAAAACTGAAGAATACATTAAAGATCCCCCAAATTTTGTCTCAAGCATTTTTGAGACAAGTCGATTTCTTTCCATCTCAAAAGTTAAGTGCATCTGAACATAACAGCTAATGCACTGCAGTAATTCTAAGAATGCATTAGAATATTCCATTGAGAATTTGTTGGCAGAACACAACATCCAACTTCAATCTAATGGAACTAAAGGGGCAGGTGGTGGAGTTATTCCTCTAGTTGCACCTCAGACAGCTTTAGATTTACTAACATTACACAAGCAGGAAAAAGCACAAAGTCACATAAGTATTGAACAGTGCTGGTAACATATAACTGAAAGCCCATTAAAAATTTTCATAAGCCACATTCACTGAGCTTATTAAATTCCATTATGCTAAGCTGTAAAGCAACACAAGTACTACTTTCAAAATGTTAAAATGGAATTACTTAGCTTCACGCCTGTAAACACAGAAATAGCTCTGATTGCTGGAAGAACAGAAGCCAGCTCATCAGAGAATCCAATAAGCATTTTGTTACCCTGTACAAAAAAAAGCCCCACCAACATAATCATACCCTTAGAACAGCCAAGTCCTTTGTAGATTAAGAACAGAATGATAGTTCTAATGACACATCTTGCACCAGGAACAGCTGAAGTGAAAAGCCATGCAATAGAATCCAAGCATGTCAGTTTTTTCCAAAGGAGTGGAAACCAGGTCCTATGACCTTTGATGCTGAAAGCAATAAGCAGGATTTAGCTATGAAAGTTTTTGTCATAAGGTTTTCCTTTAGAGATACTGAAATCAGGTTCTTTTCACAGTCCTATTCATTTCCAGCTCTTTTTAAGGAACATTTTGAAATAGTCATTAAAATAGATGCTACTGCTTTTACTTGACAGCTACATTGTGTCCCCATTCTAAAAATTTTTATTCAGTTCTTAAGTACACCACCTGAATACCCCATTTTAATATTGAAGACCTAATGAGATGTACTACAGATAGCCTTTCACAATAGCAAAGGATTCTGTATAGAAATACTTCATATTCCATGGTGAAGAGCACAAGACTGACTCGTTCGTTTCACACACTGACATCAATTTCATCTCCACTTGCAGACTCTTGTGCAACATTAACAACTCCAGCTTAGTAAACCGGTAACTAGAATATCACTTGCTGAAAAGCTCAAAAGGATGACAGAAGTCAGACCAAGCAATACCTTATTACTCACCTACAAGTTGTTCATCTCAGAACAGCTAAACATTATACTGAGACATTTCTGGTCAAATTTTAAGTGTATTTATCACACCAGTGAACTGTAGTGCTATGCAGAAAGAAACCTGGATGAAACAATTGTTCCCCAGTTCCAAATGACTTTTCAAACACAGTGGGATCCCCCTTCACCACCACCATCTCCTCCTCCTCCTCTCCCCTCCTCCCCCCCCCAAAAAAAAAATATTATCAGAGCACCACTTTTAGCAGTATACTGGATCTGAGCATATCTTAAAGCACCCTGCAAACACAAATTTAACAGCGGGACTTAAGTAGGTTCAGTCCAAATACAACTAGTTACCTACAGTAACTACAGTTTTATTTGCAGTATTACTCCTCGTATTTACTACTACTTGAGGCTAAAAGTCCCAGTTTGAACTTGAGACCTCAAATCAACATTTTCATCATGAAGCAAAAACCTCCTCTGTTTCTGGGCACACAGAAAAACTCTCACTCCTAATGAATGAGCACTGAGCATCTGATGAACTATGGTTCCGAGACATGTTCCAGTTCCCTGCTCACCACAAGGGAAAGATAAAGAGGAAACTATTTCTACCTTTTACATTCAGCTGCAGCTTATAGTGATTTCAGTGAGTATATCAGAATATCACCTTTGAATTATGAGAGTACTGAGTAGTGAATCTGCATCAGTCAGCTCAAGGCTCCCTAGAAACCAGGGGAAAACTAAGTTATATCATCCCAGAATGAGAGTCTGACAGTGATGCAGCAGGTTCTGGGAAGGAGAGGTCAATGCCATTCCAGGAAGATGCTCCTTTTTCAACAGCATCTCCCCTGCAGTCACATTCCTTCAAGTGAAGGGTACAGAGCTCAGATCTTTGTGTGCAGTGTTCGGTTTTTTGTTTGTTTGGGTTTTTGGGGAGTGGGGAGCATCTCTGCACATCCCTCTCCACACAGATCCCATTTCTCTATTTAGGGTCAGACAGCTGTCTCTCATCACTTCTCTCAGCATCATGCTGTGCCCTAAGGCATTGCACAATGCCTGACAGGAGCAGGCAGTGCCATGCAAGTGTGTTCTGCTCATCCCTCATACTGCTTTCCATTATGAGCCCCCCAAAAAACTCCAAACCAGAGTTCATTCTTAAAACGAACATTCAACCTTTCTAATTTAGGTGCATTCATATTATAGTTTGATGCTAAAACATTCACATTTCCCCCAGATTTGAGGCCTGACTCCTACCAGCCACCTGATCAGCACTCTATGAACAGGATGCTCTGTTCTCACCCAGTCACCTCCCCTGACTTCAGAGATCAGTGCTATCAGCATTAGCCAGGTACTTACAACAAGCTGCATTCCAAACAACCCAAGAGAGTATGGATTCCCAACCCTTGCAGATTTAAATATACTGAGTAGCTGCAAATTCCTCACCTGCGTTTGTTCTCTAGTTTACCATTACTAAGACTGCACTCAAATCTCAAATTGGGAATCCTGAGCAAGTTACAAGCAAACTGTGAAGGAAGAGAGCAGAAAAGGCTGATCAGTAGAAACACAAAGATTAAAGAGAACAAACATTAACAGAATGGACAAAGTCCTCACCATCTGCTCAATGCATTTACATAAGGTCACCTCTGCAGTCTTGCAGAGGTATCAGCATATGAATTCACAGCAGACTGACCACACAAAAACACACCAAAACTAAGGTGCTGAAGTACAAGGATAAAAGTTGTTTTCTTAAGTCAATTATGGTGATCTTTCACTCACAGAGACAAAGCAGTGGTAGAATCCTTAGTTTATGCATTGAGCCCAAACACTAAAATGGATGCATAAACACTGTGTCCCGATTATAGAGTCACAGACCACTCATGTTCATAGCAGACCACATCTGCTTTCTGCAGATCTCAGTAGGAAAAACCAAGTTGCTGCAGGCCAAGACTAGCTTTGTCTCATTGATGCTAAGAGCTTAAACATCCGCCCATTACTAGATTATCTAGTTATGGGAAGCATTGCTGAACTACATTAGATATCCCTTTTGAGGAGCAGAGAGGAAGGAAGGCGGGAGCACTTGCACAGGAGAAGTCCTTCCAACTAGCACAGCAAACAATTATAAGCACTGCTGGCCTTTAATACCACATTGGGCATCATACATTGGCCCAAGGTAACTGAAAGCCATGCAACAACAAGTCCACAATAAACTTATCAGACCGATGATCCTCCACGATAGAAGTCACAGAATGGCCTGGGTTGGAAGGGACCTCAAGGATCAGTGAATCTCCAACCCCCTGCCATAAAGGGCCACCAAGTTCCACATTCAATACTAGACCAGGTTGCCCAGGGCCCCATCCAATCTGGCCTTGAACACCTCCAGGGACGGGGCATCCACAACCTCTCTGGGCAGCCTGTTCCAGCACCTCACCACTCTCTCAGTAAGGAACTTCCACTTGACATTCAACCTAAATCTTCCCTCCCTCAACTTAAAACCATTTCCCCTTGTGCTGCTGTTATCTACCCTTTCAAAGAGTTGATTCCCCTCTTGTTGATAGGCTCCCTTTAGATACTGAAAGGTCACCCCACAGCCTTCTTTTTTCCAGGCCAAACAAGCCCAGCTCCTTCAGCCTGTCTTTGTAGGGGAGGTGCTCCAGCCCCATGATCATCTTTGTGGAAATGATGTGGAAATGAAAATTCTCGCTCTGGATCAACATTTCAAAACACTTTACAACAAAACATTCACAAAACACAAGCCAGGAGTTATCTATACAAAGCTACACTGAGTTATCAGACACTCAACCAGTTTTGTTCACACTGCATCCAATCCTTATGTTCTGTCCTCATCTCAGTGGTTTTCAACCATCTCAGGTCACAGCATTCGGATGCCTGAACTCAGAGTATGAGGTCATCCCAGAGGCGAAGCCATGAGGCAAGATTTACCAACCATTCAAACAAAACAGATTTGTATTTACCTAAAATACCACTTAAGTCTATTAAAATGATACAGGACTTAACAAGCACTAATGCTCAAGAAGCAGCAGAGTATCTGCTGTTTCAAAGTACTGCAACATGAAGAACACTATCATAAACACCTGTTGGAAGGAAGCCTTTCTACAGAACCAGCAAATACATTTCTGCTGGCACTCATTACATTACATACTAACTCCCTTGTAATTTCAGGGTTCGGCTTTTTTTGGATAAAGTTTTTGGATAAAGTTTCAGCTAGTCAGAATCTTCTTTGAAAGCGTTATCATGACTTGGATTTAACAGCATCATGTCTGATAAGCTACAGCCAAATTTTAAGAGTTTTCAGAATCTACTTGAATAGGATAACTGCAACACAACTGAACTTAATTTAGAGCTGTTCTGCAGAACAGCCTTTCTTCACACATGATATATCTAGAGAAGTTTTGTTTGTTTGTTTTTTTACAGATTGTAACTGCTGCCACCTTCAGATTTATGCAGTCACGTGCTCCTAAACCAACATCCCTTCCCCTTCTCAGCTATGCCTGGATTTCAGAGAAACTGATCCTCACATGCCACAAGGAATAGCAGCCTCAGTAAGGTGCAGCAGTGCAGCTGCTGCCCACATGGATGTGTAATTTAGGATTAAGCTTAAGTCACACAGGACTCCAGATTGAAACCTAGAGCTAATCCTTCTACCACATGACAATACTTAAACAGTTACAAAACTTCATATACAAGGTCAAAAGCATCTTGTGCTTCTTCATTCCAGCAAGGAACAGACATTCATTCACATCTTGCCTGCCACCGGCAGGGAGTTACCCAGTAGCTCCACAGTGACCCCACAGCCTGCTGCAGGACTTGGCAGCTGGTTTCTTCCACAGGTGCACATGGGTGCAGCAGTAGCCACACGCAACTTGTGGCCTGGTCCAACAGAAAAGCAGAACAAAAAGCAGTCAGGGGAGCACAGGATCAAACTCCCCATGTAACTGAATTATAGAAAAGGAACACAGCCTCAACACACCTCCCAGAACCTGGCCTGCCCAGAGCCTGCCCAGGGCAGCACCTTATCTTGCCCATGGCGCAGAATGCAGCCACAATAAGGGACAGGGTCACAACCCCCCTCTTGAAGGATGTTTTCACTTCTCATAAATTACTGTAGCAACATCAAATCATACAGTTGTCCAGGAGCATAAAGGCATATGTAGCAGTGTGTGGCATGACAAGCAAGTTCTCCAGAAGCCTGCCATGGTGAAACATGTGCTAAGAGACAGCAAGCACAGCCTGCTACGCAGCACTCAGCGTCAGTGTTATCTGTTCTTCTGGAAAACATGTGTACAAACATAGCCTACAGCTCATCACTGACTACACCATATTTCGGAACATACACAAGGGCAGCCGCTAAAGTATCATTTTTTATAGTAAAAAGCTTGTGCTTGCTACACCTTCTGACGCATGATTACTTGATTTCAACTATCCTTAGACATTCTGGGCCCCATACTCACACTTCCTAGGGGCCTTCTTCAATAATCCACAGAGTAAAAACATGCAAATTCTTGCCCCTGAGAAACGAGCTGAAGCGTCTGTGACACTGATATACAGAAAGCGTGCATCACAGAGCCCGGTAGGAACCAGAGTGCACTCCTCTGATATAAATAATGCACGTACCGGGGTGAGAAAAAGTTCAGCAGTGCATTAAGCGCTCCCGACGCTGCGTAGCGCGGGCAGCGGGTCTACCGCGGGTGGCAGCGGGACCGCGAGCACCAGCAGCCCCGCGCCACGGGCCGGACGCCGCCAGAGCCAGAGTTGCCAACGCGGCGGGGAGCACGGCGCAGGGAGCGCAGCGCCGCAACCCCAGCAGGGCCGCCCCAAGGCCCCACCGGCTCCGCGTCAGCCCCAGCCCGGGAACAGGCCGCGGCCGGCACCTCCCCTCTCGCAGCGCGGCTCACAGGCAGCGATACAGCCGTTCCGGCTGAGGAGGGGACGGGAGGGCACCGCTGGGACCGGCCCCGCGGAAAGAGACCAGCGGGCTGCGAGAGGAAGAGAGGGAAAGGAGGAGTGAGAGAGCGCCCTCGCCCCGCCAACGCCGCCCCCCCTAACCTCCCCGCGCCTCGGCCGAGCCCTACCGGGAACCAGGGCGGGCCGGCGCGGCGCCGCACGAAGCCAATGGCCGGGCAGCGGCGGGAAGCGAACGAGGAAGCGGGCGGCCGCCGGGGGTCGGAGCCTGCGGGGGCGGAGCCTGCGAGGGCTTATAGGGCCGGCCCGGGCCGCGCCCGGAGGCCGCGGGCGCTCCCCGCTCGGCGCCATGTGATCGCGCTGGACCCGGCTCAGCCGGATCGGGTTCGTGCAGACGGCGGGCGGGGGGAGCCGCCGTTCTCCAGAGCCGGCGCTTTAGCTTTTGGGTTTGTTTTCGCCCCGTGTTTGGCACTCGTCAAAGTACGGGGCCCGATAGGCGGACGCCCGGCGCTCTGCGGGATGGCTCGCCTCGGTCGTGCTGCCCGCCGGCGGTAGCAGGGGAAGCGATGCTGCTCGCGCCCCGCGAGCCCGGAGCGGCCGGCCGCGCCTGAGGGGCTGCGGGGCGGGCGCGACCCGGGGCTGCCTCCCGCCATGCGTGCTGGTAGCGGCTGCGCTGGGCAGCTCCTCGCTCCCGAGGCCGGGTAACCGCGGCGGAGGCGCCCGGACGGCGGGACCATGGTGAAGGAGGAGTGCAAGGCGTTGCTGGACGCGCTCAGCAGGGTGACCGCCTGCTACCGGCACATGGTGCTGACCATCGGCGGCACCTCGGACTCGCAGAACCTGCGCGAGGAGTTGAAGAAGACCCGGCAGAAAGCCCAGGAGCTGGCGGTGGCCAACAGGAACAAGCTGACCACGGTGCTGAGGGACAAAACCGTGAGTAAGGAGGACAAAGCCGAGTTCGAGAGACTATGGGTGATTTTCTCCACGTGCCTAGAGATCCTGGAGATCGACATGAGGAGAGCGCTGGAGCTGGGGCACGAATTCCCACTGAACGTCCCCAAAAAGCACCTGATCCAGACGGGCATGAGCGGGGGCACCTCCGGCGTGGCTGCCCGGGCCATGAGCGTCCAGAACATGAAGTACGAGGCTGAGCACAACATAGATGTGGTGGATCTGAAGGACCTAGAGAACGAAATCAACCAGGTAGGAGAAATGATGTACGAGATGGAAATGAAGGTCAATGTCCCCCAGTGGACAGTAGAGGCTAAGCAAGACCCTGGGGCTGAACTCAAATCCACCATCAGCGTGGGCGCTTCTTCCATTGGCATGATCTCTGTGGAGGAAAATAAATCCTTCTGCGATATCAGCAAAGTTCTGGCTGGGATTATTTTCTCTGCTGTTCTCATTATTGCTATCGTGCTGGCAGTGTGTGTGGTAAAACTCTCATAAACTGTGCTGGCACTGGAGAGTTCTCACAGGGCCTCCCAAAAGTGCTTCGTGCCACGCATCTCTTGTTACTTGGGTGCACTGAAAATCTAAACCTAGCACTTGGAAACGAAAAACTTTTGCCTCTCTAAATCCTGAAATGCACAGTTCCTTTCATGCTTTTTGAAGAAAAAGATGCAAATCAGCCTGCAAACTAGGATGTATTCATTAGCTGGACTTGTAAGGGTTAACTGTGAAGTATTGAGGGTATTATCACTACTGGCTATAACAGCGATTTGTCTGCTATTAATAGATCATCACTCTCAGAAGCCTGCATTTTTTGTTCTTGAACAGGCTCTGCAGTTTGCTGCTGCTCACTGTTTACAATATTTCTGACTGACACGAATTTGGAGGCCAACACAGGTGTTTTGCATGACAGTGAATAGAATAGATTGAGAATTTTTTCAGCAATATGCAAGATATTATTTCAGTGGAGGAAAAAGGGAAGAATGGATGCACCAATAAGGGAATGTAAATGTCTATTTCAACAAAGGTTAATGATCAGGGAAAGGGGAAGTGTGGAGGAGAACAAAGAAAACTAGCAATATTCAGCAAGTATAACAGTTTGTAGCCTTAGACTGGGTTGCATAGAAGCCAGCGACCAGGGTTGGCACAGCACATATTGATGGCTTTCCACATCCTGAGAGAGAAAAGGGCGAGCTGCATAGTCAGAAAAATGCTAGCAAGCCCTGTGGTTTTCTTCCACGTTAACCATGATCTTGTCTACCCCTGCAGAAAGGCTGATTCTTGTCACTGGTTCAGATTCTTTCTGTAGATGCAATCTGTCTGAACTTCTCAATTAACTATGAGACGAGGAGCAGTGAATCCACCTACAACAGATGCAATAATTTTTGACAATAGTTTGGCAAACAGCAGTGATGCATTGTGAAAGCAGACCTTTCTAGTCATCTTGAAAGAGATCCTCTCTCATGTTGACAGGCAGAGACTTTGGCCTCTTGTCATACAAACTCCTGAGGTCTTTGCAGAAATCCAGATAAAGCTAAAAAAAATCTGTTTCATCTCTCATTCATTTCTGAGAAATCGTCTGGGAAAGAGGAAGTCTGTGGTACTGGACACGTATCTGGTCCAATTGGATACCCTGCAGTTTGGGAGGATAAAAGCAAGAGCAGCAGAAAACTTTCCCAGCATTTACCTAAAAATTGCCTGTTTAAATGTAGAACTGAGTGGACATTAACTTTGCAGAGAAGCACTGTTATGTCTTGTAAAAGGACTCACGTGTTAATGTTCTTCATTATGTAGCTTATGGAGATTTGTTCTGTTCATGTAAATACACGCCATTCATTCAAGAATGCTTAGTGCAGACATTATAGTGCAATGAGACACTCCACAGGGAGTTATAGAGAGCCGATCACATGGGGGTTTTAATACATAATTAGTCTGCCACACCGATTACTATGGACACATTATCAAAAGGTAATAATCAGATATGTCTGATGAAGTTACTAGAAAATAATCTTTGTGAACAGAAGTACGTTACCAACATATTTGAACAGGTGATAACTTTTTGAGTTGAGGACAAAACTTTTAAGAACAGCAGCAGGTAACTTTTTAATATGTAATAAAACCAGATTTGGGTAAAAAAGTGTGTAACAAATTGAATCTAGTGAGGAAAAAAAATGCCAAGTGAAGGCTTGAACTGTGTTATGCACACTGATCCAGTCTAGACATGGTTCACACAGGAATTAATGTATAAGACTCTACGTTCCTTTCTACGGTGTTTCACTCGTTCCATAGGATGTGTTTTGTACACAGGTAACTTAGGTGTGTATAGATCCCCAGCAGCGCTCTTAAACAGTCAGGCCTGTTTTAATTGGTGCTACTGCTTCAGTCTGTCTAGGCACACATGATATGTAATAGCTGTGTTTTGATTTAAATGTGAAGAACTCTTTCACAATAATACTGAGTAAACACGTTTATGGAAAATACAGCAAAAGCTGCAGGAGAATGTACTGTTAAGGATGGCCACCACTAGTCACTAAGGGTTTGTGGGTGTTTTCACTCACTGCAGTCTCCTTTACTTAGTTCCCATGAAGGTGCATCAGAAGTTGAACTTTTTTCTTCACTTCTTGAAAAAGTCATATCAGATAATTTCAACTCATGTTCTGAAAACCCCAGTAATGCAAGACAGGTTTCTGCTGGATAAAAAACATGGTAATATAACATCTACTGCATTCATTATTTTGTATTTTGTTATACTAAATGGATGTAATGTTTAGCAACAGTTGTTTGTATAGAGGGATTTTTAAGGCTTATCTTCAAAAGCAAGCCACAGTGAGTTCATGAGCTGGAAATTTTCAGTCCATTACTTTTTTTTTATTTTATTTTCAATAATACAGGACCTGCAAACTTGGTAATTATGTAAGTCTTACTCCATTTGAGTGTGCACACAGTTAGTAAAGGACTGAACTTTGGAAAAAGTAATGTCTTTTCAAATCTTAAGACAAAGGTGGCTGCAGATTTATCCACTGTTTATTTGTTCTATATTTTCTTATAGATGAAATCAAAAGATGAAGTAGAATTCTAAGAGGATTGTTACAGTCTCTTCTAAATGGATAGTGTTCCTGTTATTAATCTCCTGTTAAGAAAAGCACGCTTGATACAAGGGTATGCACAATGTGACAGAGTTCAGGAGCATGAGTACGCAAATCAAAACAATATGGAACACCACTGTCCAGAAGTATTGATGTTTTTTGTTAATTTAGAAATAAGTGTGCTAGATTCACAGATTTTTTCCCACTGGAGTGTGAGTGGAAGGAAAATGAAAAAACTATTTTTGTAAATAAAAAAGTCAAATTTCAAATATTCTGAATTTAGCATGACAAGAATACAAATACTCTGCTGCTGACCAGTGAATGAGAATGTCACTGTGTTTTCACTACAAATAAAGATGCTCACTGCTTAATTTGAATCTTGTTCTACGTCAGTTTTTTTGTCCTTATTCATAGGACACACATTAAATTTGCTGTATACTGAAATCTTATTGCTGACTTGAATTATATTGTTTTTGCCTGTGCATGAGTGGTATTTTCTACACTTGAATGAAATATTATTGTCACTATTTATTTAACTTCAAATAAAGTATGTTCTTGTAACTTAATGGTTGGCTTGCAGCAGTGATTAAAAGCAAACGAAAACTGGAATATTGATGCTCCTTTTCAATGAGTTCTTCTAAAGAAAAAGTTCCTATTTCAAATACAGAAATTAAGCAAACATGCTAAGCCTTCATATTAAGTTTTCCTTAAATAAACACACCCTTCTCATGTACCCAAGTTGAATACAGTAATGTATCTAAATTTATAAAGCAGGGAAATCAGGTATTTGAAAAGTCAAAAAATCTCTGCCTTAAGGATAGCAGGCATGATGTTGCTTTCAGCACTGCTTGCTCAGGAGTGTTGAGTAAATACTCAAACACTGGCTTTGAAAGTTGAAACGTAGAGAACATTTTGGGTTAGATGCACACGTCTTGTGTTAGGATCCAAATGCTGCCTCGTTTTTCTAGCACTTACTTTAACAAAAGATAGACACATTTGAAGGAGTATAAAATTTAGT